CTGTTTTCTCTGTATTCTGTGGCCTCGAGCGGCAAATTAAATTCCGCACACAAACACACATACCAACACACACACACACACACAGTAACACTGACATTTGGCAGCAAAACGCATTGCCTGCTTTTTTGTGTAATTAGTGAAATTCGGCAACAGGGCGAACTTACGGAGAAAGAAAGAGACAGGCGACACCAGACCCCCATTGAAGCGCACGCCTCTGCAACAGAACCCTTTTCATCTGCTCATTAGCAGAAGAGCCTACCGAAATGCATAAAGAGTGAAATGAGGGCCAGGGACAGCGACAACGACAGCGACAGCGACAGCGACAGGGATGCACTTCATAAATGTCACTTGAAATACATTTCCATCAGGGGCACGTGCGTGATGCACAAAAAAAGATGGGACAATGACAGCTACCGAGCAGACGACTGACAGGAGACAATAGGGAAAAGGACTCGACTCAACTCGGACTAGGACTAGGATCTCCGTAGTCTGGCCTTGCACACGCTCGCACGAGTGAAACGTGATGATTTGTCATGATTACTGGGCGGGAATGGGGTGTTGGTATGCTCAGATACAGATGCTCATCCCAGCCTAACTGCTACGCCTGCTTTGTTTGTGCTCTGTCATGTTTTCACATGTCAATGTCGACCGCCGACACAGTCTCTCCCCCAGTCCCCCAGTTCTCTCTTTACCGTGCGGGCCACAGTCATTAAACTGAAAATTGTTCAAGCTCTCTTTTTTAAGAGCTTTGCTTTGCTTTTGCTTTACGTTTGCCTTCGCTTCGTTTTGCAATATCCATTTGATGTGTTTATTTTAAAATTTTTATGATTTTCGCTGGGCACGCAACAACATAAAAATAGCCCCAGAGTCACAGCCCCTCAGAGCCAAAGAGCCAAAGAGCCGAAGAGCCGAAGGAAGGCAGTAACTACACGTACAACCACGCTGTTACATGTATTTTCGCCACTTAACACATTTATACACAAACACACAAACACACACATGACATACAGACATGCTCAGCTTTTGGCTTTTGCTTTTGCCTCTTACTTGTGTTCTTTGTTGTTGCCCCTCCTCTTATAGTCTCTCTCTTTCACTCTCTCTTTCTTTTCTCCAGTCGCCACTATTGTAGTCTCTATTCAAGCACACACACCAGCACGCACATGACATACACACATACGTAACCTTGTAACCAAAATACTGTTATTTCGGTCCGCAATTTCAAAGTGTATGTGTGTGTGTGTTTGCAAGTGTGGGTGCAGGTGTGGATGTGGGTGGTTGAGCCAAAGTTCTTGGCATTATTTTAAGTGTGTTGCTCACCTGCACCAGCTCTCTCTTTCCCTCTCTCTCTCTTTTTCCCTCTCTCTCGACTTGCCATTTTTTCCTGAATTTGTATTGAAATCTCGGCTTTTACTTTGATGTATATAAACCTCTATGTAGTTTTACTCCCTATTTAATAGATGAACCCTGCCTTCAATGTACCTTACATATATTTATGTATGTATGTATGTGCATATTTATGTCTCTCCCCTAGTTGTGATCACATTTTTAAGTTACATTTTGCTTAGTTATTTTCAATTACACCACACACACCACACCACCACGCGCCAACAAACACTCACACACACCACACACACAATGTTTGTACTGCGTTAAACTTAGCATTTTGAACGGTACGCTGTTTTTTGAATTCCTCTTTCTTACTGTTTTTACATAATCAAAAAGTAATATATATAACATTTAAACAACCAAAAAAAAAAAAAAAAAAAAAAAAAAAAAAAAAAAAAAAAAAAAAAAAAAAAAAAAAAAAAAAAAAAAAAAAAAAAAAAAAATAAAAAAAAAAAAAAAAAAAAAAAAAACAACCAACCAACCAACACCATCAAAGAGCAAAGCAAATCAAATCAAATCAAATCAAAGATGAAACATTTCGAAAAAAGAAATAGAAAAAGAAAGAACTCGATGCAGAAACAATCAGATGATAATTAACAAACCATTAGTGAATTGTGATCCTATTTAGCATACAAGAATAATTCTTTTGTCATTTTATTGCCAAAAGATGCTGATGATTTTTTCACGAAACTTATCGATTGTAATGGCTCCAATAATTGGCACTTTTATCGAAGAAAATGAACTCAAAAACTAAAAACTAAAAAACACTTTCAAACGTCAAACAAAAAAAGAGGGATTAATCCTGAACCAAAAATATCAAACTAAATCAAAAACTCAATTTATAAATGCAAAATATATTTGTTTTCAGAATTGATCATTTTTAATTACATTTAAAAACATCTATTTTGTTGTTGTTCTAAAAGCAATCACAAAAAAAAAAAAAAACAGAGAAGAAATGCAATAGCAAAACAAAAAAAAAAAAAGAATAGAATTTGCTTACCAAGAATTCAAACAAAAAACGTATGCAACTATTTACAATATGCTTTTGTAATATTTTCGCACTGAAATCAAATAAAAAAGACAAGAAACAATCAAAATATAATCAATATAAAAGTAATAACAAATCGAGAAGAGGAAGGAAGAGTAAAACGGGCAAGAAGAAGTAGAAGGAGATGAAAGGAAAATCGATCGCGAAAGCAAGCGACTTTCATTTATTTACTGACAACTCTTTGACGATAAAATGATAAAACAATTACGACGTGTATATACCATACATATATATCCACAATATACTCCTCCTCCGCCTCCTCCAGCCTCCTATTTCAATCTTTCTCTCTCTCTCTCTCTGTCTGTCCAAACTCTGTGTCTGTCTCTCTATCTCTCTCTCTCTCTGTCGCTATTTGTACATATACATTGTACATATATGTTGCATATATATTACTATCAAGTATGTTGTTTTTGATGTATATAAATACATTTAAATATTGCGTTACTCTGCTTCGACAGACCGAGACTTCCAAGACCCCCGAGGCCCGCTTCCCAAAAAGAAAGCCCAGCCCCAACAGAGAAAACCTGCACGGGAGCCTGTTGCCGTGTCGTTGCACCCCACATTAACACATGCATATAGATATAGATATGTTTGTATGCACATGTACATGTGTATGTGTATATGTGTGTGGTATATGTGTCTGTGTGTGATATATTACTTTTTGGTTTTTGTAAATATCGAACTATCTATCTATCAATATAGAACAAAACGTTGACCGGAACCACTCGAACCCGTTCCAAAACGATCTCACAACACTCAAAACACAACGCAACACACACACAACCACCAAATCTCCACTCACATCTACACAAACACACACACACACACACACACAAACAAAAATAAACACAATTTGTATTTGAAATGAAAGGAAAGTGAAATGAAACCACAAAACGAAGATACTCTCTGCTCTGTCTGTCACATTAACTTGCGCTCTCTCTCTCTCTCTCTCTCTCTATATCTCTTTCTAAGTTTATGTAACAAAGTCTAAATGTCTATTTCACACCACACACTCTCTATCTCTCTATCAATCAAACTCTATCTCTATCCCTCTCACTGTCTGTCTAAACAAGTACTACTACTACTACTTACTATATGAATAAAATATTTTGTTTGTTTTCTCCAACCGAACACCGAAACAAAAATACCAAAAACCAATACAAAATACAAAATACAAAATACAACAAACAAACAACCAAATCAATTATTTAACAAATATACTTTTGCACGTTATTTCTATAATGCATCTGAACTATATATTGTTATACGTAAATTTATGTTTCTTTTCTGCGTACAAACAAAATACCGAAAGAAAAATACATACCAACATGCCACATGTAAACCAAACAAAAACCCCCCAACCCCTCCACGGATATCAAATAAACTTAATCGAATATCGAAAGTTGAGAAGAATTCCAAATACGAAATCAGAATCCGAGTTGCATTTGTATGCCGCCACACGTTGATCGTACGGGATCGACAATGAAGATATAGGGAAACATATTGACACAAACACATGCAGGGACACCTCACACACACACACACACAAAAACATATACACTTGCTGCAATCCACAAACATACTCGCAAATAGCCACAAACAGAAAACAGAAACAAACAGCAGCAGCGACAGTGACAGCCTCGTGCTGTTTGTCAAGCCAGTGACACACATTTCATGTTGCGCCTCTCCCACAACACCCACACCACTACCCCCCACGAGAAACACTTCACACACACATGGACAAAACACCACACACACACACACACACAACCGTCCCCGCCCTTGTTGAACTTTTTTTGGGTGCTAACAAGTGCCGTTGAAAGCGGCGCAGAACTAACTATAATAACTATAACCATAAACGAAAACCGAAAGATAAACCAATGGAAGAGAACCAAAACCAGAAACCAGAAACCAGATACAGTTAACAGTAAACAGAACCAGAACCGAATTCACAATCCATCAAATCATTGATCAAAAGTCTCATTCTATTACAAAACCCTATTGTAAATTAAGCGCAGAAAGTGTACAACCAATAAGAAAACTTGCAGAAAAACAACAAAAGTAATAATAATGATAATGCTAATACTAATAATTAATAATTAATAATTAACAAATGAAAATCGAACCAAAAAAAGAAATGAATCAAACGAAAACGTTCAAATATGGGGCCAAGATAGTCCGTAAGTGTTCGGGCTAAGATCGCTTTGGTAATGTTAAATGTAATCCTATTCAAAGATATATAGTTGTAAATAATACACATATATATATATATATATATATACGTATATATCTAGCTAATGTTTGTTAACCATGATCATGATCCACCACACAAAACCAACCCAAAACGCGAGCCGTGAGACGCAAACGAAAAAAGAAACGGCAGCAAAGAGCAATGCCAATGCCAAGAAACACCAAACGAAAACCCAAGTATAGCAGGCCCAGAGAGATCTGGGTATCGAACACAGCAACAACAATAACCAGAACAACAAACAAGAACAACAACAACGTTTCAGTTACAGTTACAGTTACAGTTACAGCAACAACCATTTGAAATCGCCCATTTCAGATGTACAATAACTACACGGGCGTCAGCGGATGCAGTCCCCCACTGCCAGACATTATTGGACAATATTACGGCCCGCCCGCCCACGCATACGGCCCCAGCCCCGGCCCCGTCCCCGGGCTCGGCCTTGGGCCAGGAAACGGTTATGGTAACGCGTACGATCTGTACGGACCCTCCACATCGTCGGGAGGCTATTTATATGACCCGGGGGCAGCTGCTGCAGCAGCCGCCGCTGCCCAGATCTACGGCCAGAGCCAGACCTCGCCCATACGCCGGAGGCGGTACAGCATCGCCGGACTGCCCTCGGCCACCATGTATAACGATGTGTACGGTTACCCGGCCCCGCCACAGCACCAGACGAGCTCCTCGAACATCGTCAACCTGCTGAACGAGGCCCACAAGTCGATATCGCGCTCCTCCCAGATCCTCAACCTCTCGAACCAGGCGCGCCAGTTGGGCCAACTGGTGACCACTCCCCTGGGCGGCCGCGTAGTTTCAAGCTACCCCACGCTGCACCCGGGCGACACCTCGCCACCGTATCTGAACGACAACCTGCTGCAAATGTCCACGAGCTTCTCCTCCCAGCCGAACATGTATTTCCAACCGCAGCCGCAGCCGCAGCAGGCGCCGCTGCCCACGCAGCTGACGGCCGCCCAGAGCGCCGCTGCGGCGGCTGCGCGGCTGAGGCCCGCGTACTCCGTCACCAACCTGGTGTCGGGTTACCCGAGCTCGGCCGGCCTGGGGATGGGCATGGGAATGGGAGCGGGTATGGGTGTGGGTGTGGGTGTGGGGGCCTGCAAGTATGGGATGACGGGCTACGCGAATCCCTATCAGAGTGAGATGCAGAACTCCTCGGGCTACGGCGGCCTGGGATTGGGGCTGGGACCGTTCCAGCAGCGGCAGCTCATGTCACAGTCCCTGCACGCCTCCAACCCCGCCATCTCGCAGTACTATCAGCAGCAGCACCAGCCTTCGGCCAGCTCGGCAGCGGCCCTGGCCTACAATCTGCAGCAGCAGTTCGCCGGAAGCCATCATTACGGGAGCGGCGGCCAGCCGCCGCTGGGACATTCGCACATACAGGCCTCGGTGCAGCAGCAGATGCATCCGCAGTACCAGTACCATGTGCACCAGCACCAGAACCACCTGCAGACCCATCCCCTGGCCTCGCTGGCCAACACGAGTGGACCGTTCGGTGGGACGCTGGCCAGCAGCGGCAGGGACGCGGTGACCGGAGCCGGCTACGAGGGACTGCACCACTCGCATCCGCATCACTCGCATTCGCATCTGCATACGCATCCGCACTCGCATCACTCCTCGCATCACCATCACTCGGCATATCCGCACTCGCTGTCGCACCACCAGCAGCAGCCGCATCAACAGCATCATCACCACCATCTGCCATACTCAAAACTAGACTTAGATTATCCGAAACTGCCGCAAGAGCATAAGCGACAAGTAAGTTTTAAATTTGACACAGACACGCTATCCCTAGACTCCTAAGCGACCCCGAAATCAAACTCGAATTGGAAAGTATGCCCCCCCAAAAGACCCCCCATCCAAGTGAAGCATCAAAATTCGACTCATCATCAGCAGCATCATCGACATCCACATCCATATGCAATCGAGCATCCAATAACAATAACAATCAGAGAACGAATCGATATGGAAGGAGCATCTATCTACATATGTACATACATACGTACATAATCGCATGTACATATGTATGTATATTCGATTATTTAGATAGCGGCCCCAAAAAACTGCATTTAACGCTTTCCTCTACATAACGTACTCTCCAGTAAACCATCTGTAGCTGACGGTTCCCGAGTGGGGAGAAGAAGTGACACCAAGTATTATACATACAATACCTATAATAAATATACACCCAAACCATATAATATACAAAAATATACAATACGATAATAGTGCGGAATATTCTTAGTAGAACGAACTAGGCTAAGCTACGGGAATAACTATTGTTTCATGTGCCATTTTAAAGTAGAAACAAAGGAATGAATACAAAACTTACATTTAACAAGCAATTATTTTCTACATATTTAAATTCGCGATTCTGATCTAGGTTTTTGCATAGAGCACTCAGGGCAAAACTTTTCAGACAGGAATGAAACGTTGAGTTGAGTTGAGTTTTGTTTCTCTGGAAAAATTGTAGAACCTTGCTCTTGACTCTCAAAGGTAAAAGACTGTATATAAAAACTAAATGAGATTTACTCGCAGATAAATAAACAATTTAAATATACAAACAAATGAGAAGAGAATGAAAATGAAAGTGAAAGTGAAGCAACTTGAAATTTACTTTAAACTTGTGAAAGTTGCAAATTTTTGCTAACGAGCTAAACGAAAATAGATTATTTAAACATTATTAAATCAAAACCTATAGAGTAATTCGTACTTAGTATGGAAATTCAAGAACTTAGCAAATTGTTAGTGCAATACCAAAACACACACTCGAACTATCTCTAAGAAAGTACTCGTAAAAAAACGAAACAAATCGAAATCGAAATCGAAATCTTGCCTGGTGTTAGTTCTAGTTATAGTACTAGTAATCCCAGCTGGGCAAGTACCTCCTATACCCAACCTACTATCTACCTATAACCAGAAACTATAACCTTACACTAGACTTCCTCTCTAACTTACTAGATATGTAAATTGTTTAATCTCCCCCGCTTCCTCTTGCTACTCTTTAGTTCCGACTTCCTAAAGCCTTCCCCAGCAAAAGCAGAAACAGCAGCAAAAGTTATAGACGAACGAGCGAACTAGCGTGTGATTAGCAATGAAGGTCAATTATGTGTATAAAGATACAAATTTATATGTATGTGAAATCTATGTAGATGGAGGATCGATGGAACAACGATCCAATTCCGGTTCGGAATTAGTTTTTGTGTGTCCGAGACAGCAAAAGGGCAAAAGTGAAACGGAGAAGCATTCAAAATGTGTCTATGCGAATATTATATTGTATTATTATTATCCATATGTATTTGATCTCTCTACTAGTGTTGGTATTTCGTATTCGAAGAATCGCTTTTTTATACACTCAACTCAAATCTAACGATTTATGTATGCTTTCCCATTGGTTTCCTTCTTTCTATTCGCTGGCTTTCTAAATCGAAAACTTATACCTAGACATTTCTCAAAGAAAGTAAAAATTCATGTTAAAGTAGTGGTTAAATTATATAACTACATATACATATACAAATATGTATGTATGTGTGTGCAGAGAAACAACAATCTGGAGTTATTTTTCCTAGTTGTGCTCTCGTAGTTGTAGTTTCCAGTCAATGCCCCTGAAAGTATGCAGCGCCCGGCGAGATAGGAGCAGAAATTGTGTTCATACATATACATACAAAAAAGGCTTTTTCAACTGTTTACATCAGTAAATGCGAGTATATACAGACACATATAACTGAAAGATAAAAGCTTATCACTAGCCAATTCGGATGTGAGGCATTTTCTGTGCGTGCGTGAGTATAGATAAATAGCCACAAAGATACTGTTACTATCCATTACGTAGATACTTACTATATTAATTCTGTTGTCGTGACCTAACCAAACTCGATTGATTCTCCTCTTCGACTCAGTTTGGGATTTGTAACCTTTTTTTTTTATCTACAAGACGACGAACAACCAAAACAAACGAGGCATTTGAATATTGATATATACACACAATATATATACATATACATTATATACAACAAACAATCTATACATAACTCTATATATGTATCTACTTATACTGTATTTGAATAATTATGGTTAATATTCTGATTAAACGCATATACATTTATGATATGATCCAGCGAGACATACTATTTATACAATGATTTAACTGTAAACCTAATTAAGATCTTAATTCAGACTTAATTCAACAAGCAAATATTCTCGAAATCTGTTAAACTTAAACTACCTTCTAAGCATTATAAAATGGAAACTTTTCGAAAAGCAAACAATAAAATTACATACGAAAATCGAACGTCGCATATCGAAAATCGATGAAAGAACAAATACTAATGAAAATAGTAGTTCAGGAGTGACCACCCACCGCCCAACCGCCCAACCTTTCAATCTACCTTTCTCTCATACCCTACATTAACCACACACACGCACACACACTCACACCGATACCGAAACAGATACTCGAACACTCTCGAACTTGAACCCAGACCGGGGGCCAGACACACTCCAAAACTCCACACTCCATCCAATCTCCATCCATCAACAAGTTCCATTGTTATCCACAATGCGTAGGCTCGAACCGCGCTCCTCCATCCCTACGCTCACCCACACTGAATTGCAAAAAACAACAACAACAACCACACCACAAGAACAACAACAAGAATTACTCTCAGACCAGTACTGGAACCCGAACATGTACATACAACAAGAACCATCACGTATTTGTAGTCCTGGCTATGGATCCGTCCATCCCTAAGCCGAGGCACTGAGTGTTACAACAATTTCTGATCTTATATTATCTGTGTACTTTGTCCATTCCAAACCTCTCCAACCAATCCGCCCATCTTCCCATCCGCCCGCCCGCCTGCCTGCCTGTCTGTCCTGACAATTTGAAACCGATAAACCCGACCCGACCCACAGTTGGACGAATTTCGTCTTGAAATACAGAGAAGGGATCAAGAGATCCTGGCGATGGCGGCCAAAATGAAAACACTGGAGGAGCAGCATCAGGTAAATGAACGCTCGAAGAGGGCGCCTCAATCCAAAAATTGTCGTTTGCACAGTAAAGTAATTTCCGCCAGGACTATCAGCGGCACATAGCGGTGCTCAAGGAGTCGCTATGTGCCAAAGAGGAGCACTACAACATGCTGCATTCGGATGTGGAGGAGATGCGGGCCCGCCTCGAGGAGAAGAACCGCCTGATCGAGAAGAAGACCCAGGGCACACTGCAGACGGTGCAGGAGCGCAACCGCCTCACCAGCGAGCTGACCGAACTCAAGGATCACATGGACATCAAGGACCGCAAGATCAGTGTGCTGCAGCGCAAGGTTAGGTCTCACCCAGCTACCAGTCCCACTTAGAGCACCACCCTTCAATGCGATACCGCTGCACTCTCATTAACAGATCGAGAACCTGGAGGATCTGCTCAAGGAGAAGGACAACCAGGTGGACATGGCCCGGGCCCGTCTCTCGGCCATGCAGGCCCACCACAGCAGCTCCGAAGGTGCTCTGACCAGCCTCGAGGAAGCCATCGGCGACAAGGAGAAGCAGATGGCCCAGCTGCGCGATCAACGCGATCGGGCCGAGCACGAGAAGCAGGAGGAGCGCGATCTGCACGAGCGTGAGGTGGCCGACTACAAGATCAAGCTGCGGGCCGCCGAGAGCGACGTGGAGAAGCTGCAGACCCGCCTGGAGCGAGCCGTCAACGAGCGCGAGCGTCTCGAGATCAAGCTGGAGGCCTCCCAGAGCGAGCTGGGCAAGTCGAAGGCAGAACTCGAGAAGGCCACCTGCGAGATGGGACGAAGCAGCGCCGACTGGGAGTCCACCAAGCAGCGGATCGCCCGCCTCGAGCTCGAGAACGAGCGGCTGAAACACGACCTGGAGCGTTCCCAGGTACTCGTGCATTATTGCCAGTTCCCCTCGAATAATACCCCTCTCCCCCTCTCCCGCCAAGACAAGTCTATCTTTGTATCTGTATGTGTGTGCTTTGTATATATAATCTAAAGACATGCATAGATAATATCGATAATCAACTATCTACCAATATGTACACAGACATACTATGTGCCCATGGGTACCCATCAATATCTACATCAATATCAATATCTATATCTATATCTATATCTATATCTATATATCTGAATATGTATTTACATGTACACGTAACGCATCCCCAACTACCCAACAACAACTACAACTACAACCAACTTAAAACTCACCCAACATATACCAAAAATATAGCTGCAGCTAGAAGAACAGACCACACTACACAAAGTAAGAACCAAACGCCAAAATTCCATCTTCCAATTAGCCATAGACCACTGCATAATATCGTAATTCGTATATCGTATTTGCTCTTACCGTTAAGCAATACACTAAAAGCACAATCCCATTTTGTATATAGTGTTTGACGATAGTTCTCTTATCGTATACGGTCAACATAAATATCGTAGTTTTGCTTTGTTTCTTTGAAAAGAGTACAAATCGTTCATCGTAAATGTAAATATCGTAAAAGCGCATATCGTACAATTCACAATTTTGTACATTTATCCCGTGAATACCGTCTGAGAGCATACCGTTACACAGCGAAAATACGTATATCGTTATTATGCACCACGCCACAGCTCATATCGCATCCCCTTAACCGCATATCGTATACCGTTGCTCGTAGCAACTGTTTTTTGTTTATTTTACCTTAGTTTCCCTTCGGTTCGTTGCATTTAGTGCCAGCAGGCGCAGGCTGACGTACTCCTTAGTCTTGGTCTCTCAACGAAAAAACACCCAGATCCGATAAACACCCGACACATTGCACTCTGTTAGATGCTTAGACAGGATTAACCGCACCCGCAGTAGCCGCAGTTAGTCCCTGTGGCCCCACCATCGCCTAGTTAGGTTTTGATTTAATCGGTGCTCAGACAAATGAGAGTGGTGTTCCCCGAAGGGGTAAAAATGTTGAATGGCTGCTTAACATGCATACGTGCAAAACTCTTTAAATCATAAGTATTATAAACATTTGTTCGTAATCTTGCAGAATGTACAAAAGTTAATGTTCGAAACGGGCAAGATATCGGTAAGTCGGCCAAGCCGCTGACCCACCCTAGCCACAGATTTAGAGCCACAGTATGCCAAAAATACTCGTAAAGCGCATAGAGAGCCAAGCGTCAAATGCACCCAAAAAGCACACCAATCAGGAAATATTGTACATAATAAGCCATCAATTAAATGTGCGACTAGCAGCAGCAAAAAGAAAACCAAATCCAAAATGCAACAATTATCTCATTGACTCATCCATTATTCACAGCCAGAAGGATCGACAGCTAGCCTGCTGGACTCATCGATACCCACAAACTCGTACAATGCATTCGCACCACATCTATTTAATCACATTTGCTAATGCCTTGCTGATATGCTTTTAATCGTTGCTTGCACTTGTTACCCCAGCGCCTTAGTTCCGCTTGCAATATACTAATTTAAATGTTTCGCGTCTCGTCCAGACATCATTTGGCAGGACGACGATGACCACGTCCCAGGAGCTGGATCGGGCCACGGAGCGAGCCGACAAAGCGGCCGCCGAGCTGCGACGCACCCAAGCCGAGCTGAGAGTCACACAGGTATGCTCCTATCCACATATACACATTGTGTAGTGACAGCCATGTGCATACATATTATGTATATCGATATGCATAACCGAATGCTCCTTTAGTTAGTCTTACATATATTTATAATGCCTATATTATTTACCTACATATAAATCGAACTCAGAACTCGAACGCATTGCACTTGAGACTTTCACGTGCAGCTATATATGTGTGTTTATATACTCGTATATGTGTATTTCTGTGTGCTTGTGCTCTCTTAATGGACTCTTGAAAACTATTGAACAAGCGATGAGGAGAGACCTGCCACCCCCCCCTGCCACACACACACACCACACCACAACACAACACAAACACCACACTCGAGGAGGGAATACACGCCAGCCTCTCTATCTTTCTATCACAACTTCGCTGCATTTGGTGACCCCGACACACATAGACACACACACACAATCCGCGCATTGGTGACCCACACAACAGATTCCGCAGCAATTGCTAAGCTACGATTTGAGCTACTTTTGTGTTTAGTTTCTTTATCCCTTAAACCTAACGTAAACTGTAAATGTAAGCTGTAAATAATTATTATTTTTAAACTGTAAACTGTAAACTGTAAACTTTAAACTCGAGACACCCGTTGCGACAATGTATACTAAAACCAATACTCTATCTAAATCGTTGTGCTTACATTCATTCTCTAAATATAGGGCGAAACTGAAAAACGTTTTGTGAGTAAAACTGCTTCCAAACAAACCAAACAAAAACAAAAACAAAAACAAGTTTTTAGTCAAGCAACTACTAATCGTAATCGAATTTGAATCTGTATTCAAACTTGAACTGCATTTAACTATGCCAAAATATGCTCCAAAGTAATCCAAAGAAACCCAAAAAGACAAACCAATAACAAATAGTTGCCATCTGTCACTTGTTCAATTTAATGTAACTTAAATGCATTGCCTGATAAACTAACCATACATACATAATGTCGTACATGCCTAGATATCCATTTGGTATGCAAACATATAGCTACATTTATGATAACAATCATAATCACACACACATTTGACCTTGTACAACAAAAAACATCGCCTGAAATTCATCTGTCAGTTCCTGCCCCCCCCAAAGTACTCACTCGTGTGCCCTGCGCTGATGTTGGTCTCGAAAATCGTTTGCCTTTGGCATTAAACCCACCCACACACACACACCTACATTCGCACAGAAAACCGGATTTGACACTCACACGGAATGGCATAGCCAGGATGGAGTACGTTACTCGTTGAACGAAATTCCGCAAGACGGAAGCGGAAGGTTGCTTAGCTCTCCTCTCAGTCAAATGATTTCGCCTGAGCTCTCTCACTTTCGCTCACTCACACACCCACTCATACGCACACTTTGCCTTACTTTGCTCTCTCTCTCTCTCGCACTTTCTCTTCTTCCTTAAACACTTTCTGGCTCTCGCTCCACGTACTTTCCCGAAAGCTTCATCATCCGAACGTAATGTAGAGATTAGACTGAGAGATTCTGGTCAGTCCGTGTCCAATCTTATGTTCCTGATCTGTGAATGTAAATATTCTTCTTCATCTCTCATCATCTGTCATAAACCTTATCCTATTGCCTACCATCCTTTGTCCACCGTCTATTGTTTGCTCGCTTCTTGTGCTCTCCCACTCGCTCGTTCTGTCTCTCTCTCTCTCGCAGCATAAATCGATCGCTCGCTAGACGTTGTAATCGTGTTTTTAATCGTTTTTGAATCGTACCTTAAGTAATCGCTATCGTATTCGTTGTTCACCTTAGACTTTGTTTTATGTCTACTAATCTGTCAGACAATCAGTCGCTCAGTCAGTCAGTCAAGTCAGTCAGTTAAGAACCTTCTCCCATTTGGTTGCCTGTAAATAATATCCGTATCCACCCCTCCAATCTACCCCAAAACTACAACAACCACAACAACAATGTAACACGCCAATGAACCACCCCCGAACTCTTGATAACCCGATAACCCAACCAATCGAACAGTCGGATGCGGAGCGGGCACGCGAAGAGGGGGCCGCCCTGCAGGAGAAGCTGGAAAAGAGTCAGGGCGAGGTGTATCGGCTGAAGGCGAAGCTGGAGAATGCCCAGGGCGAACAGGAGAGTCTGCGCCAGGAGCTGGAGAAGGCGCAGAGCGGCGTCTCGCGCATCCATGCCGATCGCGACCGGGTAGGCAAAAAAGTCCATAGTCTATAGTTACCCTCCCCCCGAGCTCCTCAATCCACCTGAACCACACTCACTTTCACTGCCCGAACTCCTTTGCCTAGGCCTTCTCCGAGGTTGAAAAGATCAAGGAGGAGATGGAGCGCACCCAGGCCACGCTGGGCAAGGCGCAGCTGCAGCATGAGAAGCTGCAGAACTCACTGGACAAGGCCCAGAACGAGGTGGACCATCTGCAGGACAAGCTGGACAAGGCGTGCACCGAGAACCGTCGCATGGTGCTCGAGAAGGAGAAGCTCACCTACGACTACGACAACCTGCAATCGCAGCTGGACAAGGCCCTGGGACAGGCGGCACGCGTGCAGAAGGAGCGCGAGACTCTCACCCTGGACACTGATCGCATTCGCGAGAAATTGGAGAAGACTCAGGTATGCCCTTATGCCCGTGTCCCGTATCCTTCCAACCCCACCACCACCACCACCACCACATCAACACCACTCCACTCGTACACGCATCTTGGAAGGTCCTCTAAGAGACATAGATATCTGTGATTGTGATCGTAACTCTGTTGTGACTAAAAGTAACCCCCTACCGACCCCTAAACTATGCCGAGACAAAGTGGGTTTCATATAGTTTAAGGCAGATTGCATTGGCATCCTCAAACTAAACAACACTAACCAAACACTTACCTTAGATTGGTGTCTGATTTATTGTGAATACCTGACACTTACTTACTCATAACCCACACACGCTGTGTACATGCATAACTCTCTCTCCATATCTATATCAATATATACAATATCAATATCTACGTATGCGTAACTATCTTTCAACTGTCCCACACAAACACCCAACGACAAACCACCCAACCGAAACACTCGTTAAAATATAAAACAAAACAAAAAACCCCCCCCCCCCGACTCGATATGGAACAGATGCACTTGGCGCGCATCCAGAAGGAGCGGGATCAATTCTCTGACGAACTGGAAACGCTCAAGGAGCGCTCGGAGTCCTCGCAGACGCTGCTGATGAAGGCGGCCCGAGACCGGGAGGCGATGCAAACGGATCTGGAGGTGCTAAAGGAGCGCTACGAGAAGTCGCATGCCATACAGCAGAAACTGCAGGTAATTTGCCACAATCCCAAACCAGCTGAAATCGAAACCAAGGTATCCCCGCTCAAATTATAAACCACCCACAAAATTGGCTCTATCTAAACTCTAACTATACCTATATAAAGTGTCTATGCTGCATACCAACTAACTAATTAACTATCGAAAATCGCATGAGAACTGAAACTGAAAACTGAAACCATCAGTGAAATTGGCTGTTTGTATGTCTGTAGCTTACACTGCTTGGAACCCCAGCAATCCGCCATCCAAGACTGAACACATTTTCTGCTTGTTGTGTCCTTTCAGATGGAGCGGGACGATGCCGTGACCGAGGTGGAGATACTCAAGGAGAAGCTGGACAAGGCCCTGTACGCCAGCCAGAAGCTGATCGACGAGAAGGACACCTCCAACAAGGAGTTCGAGAAGATGCTGGAGAAGTACGATCGCGCACAGAACGAGATCTACCGCCTGCAATCCCGCTGCGACACCGCCGAGGCGGATCGCGCCCGCCTGGAGGTGGAGGCGGAACGATCGGGTCTGGCCGCCAGCAAGGCACGCGAGGATCTGCGCAAACTGCAGGACGAGAGCACGCGGCTGCAGGAGGCCTGCGATCGGGCAGCACTGCAGCTGAGCCGAGCCAAGGAGTGCGAGGACAATGCCCGCAGCGAGCTGGAGCACCACCGGGATCGCTTCGACAAGATGCAGACGGACATCCGCCGTGCCCAAGGCGAGAAGGAGCACTTCCAGTCGGAGCTGGAGCGCGTCACCTACGAGCTGGAGAGGGCGCATGCCGCCCAGACCAAGGCGGGAGCCAGCGTGGAGGCGGCCAAGGAGGAGGCCGCCCACTACGCGGTCGAGCTGGAGAAGATGCGCGACCGATACGAGAAGAGCCAGGTGGAGCTGCGCAAGCTGCAGGACGTGGACACCTTTGGGCGCGAGACACGCCGCCTCAAGGAGGAGAACGAGCGGCTGCGCGAGAAGCTGGACAAGACGCTGATGGAGCTGGAGACGATCCGCGGCAAGTCGCAGTACGAGTCGGAGTCGTTCGAGAAGTACAAGGACAAGTACGAGAAGATCGAGAACGAGATACAGAACATGGAGTCGAAGCTGCACGAGACCAGCCTGCAGCTGGAGCTCTCCAAGGGAGAGGTGGCCAAGCTGCTGGCCAATCAGGACAAGCAGCGCTCGGAGCTGGAGCGGGCGCACATCGAGCGCGAGAAGGCGCGGGACAAGCACGAGAAGCTGCTGAAGGAGGTCGATCGTTTGCGCCTACAACAGTCCTCGGTGAGCCCCGGCGATCCGGTTCGCTCCTCCGCCTCCACCTCGGGGTTGTCGGCGGGCGAGCGGCAAGAGATCGACCGGCTGCGCGATCGCCTCGAGAAGGCGCTGCAGTCGCGCGATGCCACCGAACTGGAGGCCGGTCGCCTGGCCAAGGAACTGGAGAAGGCGCAAATGCATCTGGCCAAGCAGCAGGAGAACACCGAGTCCACGCGCATCGAGTTCGAGCGCATGGGCGCTGAGCTGGGGCGCCTCCACGATCGCCTCGAGAAGTCCGAGTCCGAGAAGGAGTCGCTCCGCCAGGCAAGTCGCAGCGGAGGCGCAGCCGCAGCCGCAGCTGCCGCTGCCCCCCATCCCCAACTGGAGAAGCACGTGCAGAAGCTGGAGACCGACATCAAGCAACTGGCCATGGAGCGCGAGCAGCTCGTCCTGCAGCTGGAGAAGAGCCAGGAGATCCTCATGAACTTCCAGAAGGAGCTGCAGAACGCCGAAGCGGAGCTGCAAAAGACCCGCGAGGAGAACCGCAAGCTGCGGAACGGCCAGCAGGTGCCACCGGCAGCCCCCGCCGAGATTCAGGCCATGCAGAAGGAGATCCAAGCGCTCCAGCAGAAGCTGCAAGAGTCGGAGCGAGCCCTGGCCGCGGCAGGACCACAGCAGGCGGCGGCGGCAGCCGCAGCGGCGGGCGCCCGACCCGAGGAGATCGAGCAGTGGCGCAAGGTCATAGAACAGGAGAAGGGACGCGCCGACATGGCCGACAAAGCCGCCCAGGAAATGCACAAGCGCATCCAGGTGAGTGTCTGACTTGGTAGCCATTACTTTTGGAGCTGTCTAATCCGACAAATCGTATCCAGTTAATGGACCAACACATCAAGGATCAACACGCCCAGATGCAGAAGATGCAGCAGCAGATGCAGCAACAGGCGGCACAGCAGCAGCAAACAGCGGCAGGTGCCGCCGCCGGAGCCGGTGTCGATGCCAAGGAGCTTGAGAAGGTCCGCACCGAGCTGCAGGCCGCCTGCACCGAGAGGGATCGCTTCCAGCAACAGCTCGAACTGTTGGTCCAGGAACTCGAAAAGAGTCAGGTGAGTGCTCCCTTCGGAAGGGCTGGATCTTCAAACTAATCAAACAATGGAATTAATGCAATTGCAGCTCTCGAATCAGGAGCAGGCCAAGCAGTTGCAGAGCTCTCAGCAGCAGGTGCAACAGTTGCAGCAACAGATTCAGACGCTGCAACAGCAGATGCAGCAGCTGCAGCAGGCTGGCAATGCTGGGGCAGCCGCCACGGATGTGCAGCGTCAGCAGCTGGAGCAGCAGCAGAAGCAGCTGGAGGAGGTGCGCAAGCAGATCGACAACCAGGCGAAGGCCACCGAAGGCGAGCGGAAGATCATCGACGAGCAGCGCAAGCAGATCGAGGCCAAGCGCAAGGACATCGAGGACAAGGAGAAGAAGATGTCCGATTTCGATGTGCAGCTGCGCAAGCGCAAGGAGCAAATGGACCAGCTGGAGAAATCCCTCCAGACACAGGGCGGCGGCGCGGCGGCTGCCGGCGAGCTCAACAAGAAGCTCATGGACACGCAACGGCAACTGGAAGCGTAAGTTTGCACTGGGATGGCAGATTCGTATGTCCCTTACTATTTATTATCTCTCTTTTTAGGTGCGTGAAGGAGCTGCAGAACACAAAGGAGGAGCACAAGAAGGCGGCAACCGAAACGGAGCGTTTGCTGCAATTGGTACAAATGTCGCAGGAGGAGCAGAATGCCAAGGAGAAGACCATCATGGATTTGCAACAGTGAGTAGATACAAAATCAAACAAACTTGGATATTGGATATTATCTCCCTCCTCTCCCCCTTTCCCCTTTCCGTTATAGAGCCTTAAAGATCGCTCAAGCCAAAGTCAAACAAGCACAAACGCAACAACAGCAGCAGCAAGATGTAAGTTATCTCTCTCTCTCTATCTCTCTCTCTTTTGAACGTTCAGCAAATGTAAGCCCTCGTTCTCTCACTCTCTCTCTCTCTCCTTAGGCTGGGCCAGCTGGCTTCTTGAAGAGCTTTTTCTAAAGAAACATAGAAAAACCAAGACCCACACACCCACAGCTACAGATGCAGATGCAGATATTTACCTAATACGATACGATAAAGAAGAAAACAAAACAAAAAGAATATACCAAAAGCACTGTCTACTATTTTGTATACTACCGATGCCAGATACTTATACCAACTACATACATATATACATATATACATATATGCAGTATTTCTACAACTCTCACATACCACACCACCACTCCACACAACACCCACACACAATTGTAAATGACACTATGTAAATGCGAAATGAAAATGCAAAATGCAATTATTTGATATTTATGTGTATGTACAATTAGGTTGCCGCTATACTCAAATTATGGATGCATTTAAATGTCAGCAGCTCGTAAAGCTTCATTTGTCTCGAACTTTCTTAGCTCTCTCTCTCTCTCTCTCTCTCTCTGTATCTCTCTCACTAACTCTCTTTCTCGATCCTCTTTCGAACTCAACTTAATGTTTACCGTTTAGGCAACCACACACAACCTTGTCTCTCTTTCTCACTCACTCTCTCTGCCTATAAAACACCCAAACCAGAGCTTTCTGTCCAACACTCACTCTCTGTCGCTACTGTAAAAGCTCAGGAACGTGACTACGCTATGTCTAGAGGCTAGCCACCCAATTGTCCCCCGCACGCAGCACGCATAAGCCGTTGTTCTCCTAACTGCGCGAATGTGATTCACAAACGGAAGGAGCAAACAAAAATAAACAGACAAAGGAGAAGATAGTACGAGTTATTTCGAAGTAGAAGATGTAACTTATATGCTAGCCTCTGTTATAGTTAGTAAAACATTAACCACTTCCCATTCCACATGCATTCACGCATTCCACACTGTACATAAAGCAAAAACATCCATCATACATACAACAAAAAGGGAGGAGAATATACAAATAGCATATGTAGAGCAATAAATTATACAACAAAGATAATACAACAGATACTATGATAAAGATATGAGTCCCATATACATATTATGTACTATACATGTATATTGTAGTTACATGGATTGCTATTACAAATTCTATTTAGGCGTGTACCAAAGAACTATACAGATCCATTTGTGGACGGACAAAGAATAAGCGGAACGTAAAGAGAGAATACCTATACAAAATCGTAAAACACTAATATGTATAACACCGATAATAATAAACTCCGTTAAACGTTACGAGTACCATTTACAATTTACATATATATATGTTCCATTAAATCAATCACAACATACAACAATAATACGATCAGTAACAACTCCCAACTCGTAGTTAATCGTACACAAGCTTTACTTTTGTCAGCTGTGAAACTGCATTGAAAAACTGCATACCCGTAGAAGGTACATTTACATGGGCGACTCCAGGGTCAGTCTAGTCCAAAAGTCCCTCGTACATATTTCGTCTTGATGGAGTGCAGAAAGTGTTAATGTTATCGATCATATATGACCTCTATATATGTATATGTATAATATCAATTTGCATAAATAATAGCTACCACGAATATATAAACATTTTATACCATACCATATATCATAGAGACAAATTGTAGTAAATATTTTGATTAGTTTGGCACACACTCACCGCCCTCTGCCCATTCTTATTATTTGCAATGTAGCTGAGAAAAAACAAGTATAGAAAGAATGAACACCACTGACTGTAGAGAAAGCGTAGTAAAGAGTAACGGAACGGATGTGAACGTAGAATGACGGAAAAATCACTGCCAATGTAAAGCAAGAATGAAATGAAGGAGAGACAGATAGTTGGAAGTCGGTGTATTCCTCCAAGCTATATATAAATTAGATTATCAGTTAAGTTCGGCTACGATACAGACCCAAACCACGATGACATTCAGCAAAAGACGAAGCAAATGACACAACACAATCATATCATAGAAACCTATATCATACCCAAGAAAAAGAAGATAATAAAATATGGCGATGAAAATTTGTAACGCTTTAAAAATATTCTCGAAACACCCTCCTCCTACCACACAGAATACATAGAGATCAAAACAAAAGTTGTAGAGCTATAAATATCTCTCACTGGAGAATGAACTCCAATGCGAACTTCTCCCAAAACCATTTGCAACCCAATTAGATAAATGATTAATGACCAAGTAAATTATGATAGAACAACAATCTATGGCATATTCGGCGCTTTGACCTTAGTTCCGTTTACATAGCATTGATAACATTTGTGTATATACAGAAGTAGCTAACCGCAACACCCCATTTTCCACCCAAAACATTACATTCGCCCCGGAAAAGTTCCTTAGCTTGGAACGATGGGGAAAAGCGGAATAAAATCTACACGAGTTCGCAGGTCAAGTAATACAATGTAGTTCGAGAAGATCGAGCATTTTCGATATTTCCCACCCCTTATTTGATGGCCGAGGCCGAGCAGAGCGAGCCCAAGTGGCTTGGCAGGTGTGTACATACGTGTGTAGTTATGTTATAACAGAAACTGTATAATATATGAAAACTAACTATTTATATGCAATTCGATACACGAGCCATTTGAGAACAAGCAAATTAACTATCGACAAATCAAACTTTGACAAACACACACAACGTTGACAATATAACCATCCCACACACCACACACACACACACACACACACACACACACACACACACACACACACAGTTATAGAAACACCCCACAGAACACACAAAAACAAATCGCTGGATCAACGTTGAATCATTTTTTACGACGCAATAACGCTAAAATGGAAGCCAACATATCCAGCACAAGATAGCGCTGATCTCATGTTAACTAAAGTTAGAAACTCAATTTCCCCACACACTTTCACTCTCTTTCTTCTATTCACACACCTCTACCCTCACCTTCGATTTCGATTTCGATTTCACTTTCGATATAGATTTCCAATTGTAGACAGACGATGAAAAGCGCGAGAGGAAACGTTTGCCTTTATCTACTTAAACTTACCACGTATCGTATTGTTAGCCTAGATAGTTTCAATTATAACAGCAGCAGCCGCAGCAACAAAGCAGAAGCGAATCAGAAGCAAGAGGAGCAGAACTAACTAACGGTACTATCTACAATATAGTATTTACCGTAAACACTTTAATCATATTATCCCCGCCGTCGTGTACCCTACTTACAAATACAAATACGAGAAAACTAAACGATAAAAAGGAGGAGAACCCAAGAAAAACAAAAACCAAGAGTGGCAAGTGGAAAGCTTCAAGACATTTTTCTATACAAAACTCTAGCAAATATATAATTAAAGAAAACAAACAAAATCTCGAATAATGTAATTTAGCAAATTGTAAACTCAATAAAGGCAACCAACCAAAAACACCCATTAAATACAATACTACTAGATAACAAGGGATCGGACCTGAGAAATGTAGGAGAGATCGCAGGAGCAGCCACTAAATGAATTTATATAGGAGAAAAGTCGAGGTAGAATTAGGGCAAATGATCTCCAACAAAAGAAAGGCAAAATCACAGATTAGATCCCATTGTGTACTTCTTTGTACATAGACCTATATATACATACAATACATATATATTTATGACTAGAGCAAATGCGTAAGATACATAGATGAATATAGGAAGATACATACAGATAAATACCTAATATAGATATATTAACATACATATGCATAGCAGATATGGAAAGCGAGCGCAAATTATAAAAATATCGCCACATCACATCCATTAGACCATCAGAACATCGTAGTCACTAGCAGGAGCAGTCAGATATTGGCCAGAGAGGAAGCGCCGGAACAGGGGGTAAGGAACCCTAAGCCGAAACCGTAACATCCGAGTACGCCCAAAACCACATCCCAAATCCCAAATCACACGCCATAAACGAAACTGAAACTCTAACCAGATTTCCCCAGAGACATGAGAAAGAACAAAAACCATTTCGTGAAAACATTTTTTTAAACAAGTTTGGTGATCTACGATATTGGTAATAATTATTGATAAATAAAATAAAATAAAATAAAAGAATATGCATATACATGCATACAATATATTATACAAATATATGTATGTATGAGTAAAGAGCAGTAGGAGGATGGGAAAAGGTAACAAGAGGTGGCATACATCAAGTAAATATTTATTATATAATGTTTTTTAAGTAACAATTACTTATAGATAAGCCATTATATATATATACACACATATATATACATAATATATATAAATTATACATATATGAAACTACATAAGTTTACAAGGTATATGAACAGAACAAAAAAAACAAAACCAAATTAAAACCAACAACCACAACCACAAAAAAGAAACAAAAACAAAAAAAACGCAACCGCAGCAACTAAACAAAGGAAGACAAAGCGAGTGGAGGGAATATATAATAATGATAAAGTAAATAAATTTATTATATACATACATACATACATAGAAGAATATTACAATGGAAAAAGAAAAACGTAACGGAAAATGATTACGAGATGAAAATGATTATTTGAAACATGTTCATTATATATAAATGTCATTAAAAATGTTCTTCAAAACTGCCTACCAATAAAATATATTTCAAATAATATCTGCGACTCTTTCTGATCTCATTTGGTGAGGGGTGCTTAATCTTCTATAGAAAACGAATTCACAATGTTAAATTATACAAAAGCTACTTTAAAACGCAATCTATGTCAAAGACTCAGACTAACGGTTTTTAGTTTCCCACTTGCAGACGCTGCCCACCAGGGTGACCGTTCACGGTATATTATATACTTTTCCAGTATTTTTTTGAGGCCAGACGCGTATGTTTTATCGATTAACCCGCGGTCACACAAATTAGCACCGATATCAAAGAAATATTATAAATAATTGTAATAAACATAACTGAAAACAGCCGAGATTTTGGCCCGCACCTGCATTACCATGTACCTATCGCGCCAGCTCAGATTGCTGCCCAAGGCCAGCATTGGACGCAGCATAACTACCAGCAGCACGCATTACACAACCACCACAGGCACTCCTGCCACACCGGCTGTGGAGCACATTGAAATCCCAAATCGCATAGAGCGATCGCCTACGGACATACTTAAAGCATTGGCCAGCACCGTGGGGCGGGACCACACGGCGCCCCATTACAAGTACCACGATGATCCGTTCCTGATACCCATGTCGAATATGGCGAAGCGCACATACGCCATGTCGAAAGAGGCTGGACGCAAGGCTGCCAAATGGATAAAAGAAGAGCACCGTGAACTATTTTTGGTAGGTGGACAGATAAAAGATTGCCTCTAGTTAACTATTTTACACAACACAACACAGCACCAAGAAGCGCAACCAGCCATTGAAAAGTTCGCCCCCAGCATGGTTTACACTGAAGAGTCTGAGGTGGACGAGAGTTCTCTTGGGCAGTTGATTGAGCTGGGAGAGCTAAAGGACGCCGTGCTTGTGTACAACCTGCTGGAACAAAAGGGAATGACCGTCAGTCCTGAGCTGAAGCAAAGTCTTTTGGAACTTGTTTGCTTCCACAACAACCAGGACCCACTGCCTGAGGAGTACATTGAGGAACGCTGGTTTCTGCAGAACAACCAACGACGTGAACGGCATGGAAAGACGTGGAAGGACGGTGACCTGGCCGAGAAGCTGTATGCCGAAATCGAACCAAAGACGCCCCAGACCTACGCTGCCCTCATTCGTGGCATGGCCAAGTATTTGCAGTGTGAGCGGGCATACGCCCTGCTGCAGGAGGCCGGAGAAAAGCAAATTCAATTGGACACAAATACTTACAATTCGATTATCCAAATCATCAGCTTTCTGAAGGACAATGCCGAGCAAAGATGGCAGCTGTGCACCGAGCTGCTGCAGCAAATGTCGCAGCAGAAACTGCGTCCCAATTTGGGCACCTTGAATGCCATTCTCCAGTGCATTAGCACGTTTGGCAACTTCAAACTGGCCCGCTCGTCGGCCCTCAAAGTTCTGCCAGAGTTTAAGCAGCTTGGTGTTAGCCCGAGCCTGGGCTCCTACTACTATCTGCTGATCATCTTCTGCCGCGAGCGCGGTCCCGTGTCCCATGTCATTGTGGACATACTGAACGAGATTGCTGGCAGAGAGTTCACGGTGGAGCATCCCAAGGACACGTACTTCTTCGCCACTGCCATGGATGTTTGCCGCAATCATTTGAATGATAAGGCGCTGGCCAAGAAGGTAAACGAGCTACTGCATACGGGCAACAACTACGATTTGGTAGGCGATTCCTTCAAAGAGTCTATCTATTACCGCAACTATCTGGCCCTGCTCTGCCAGACTGAATCGATAGAGGACTTTATGCTGACCTACGACCTGCTGGTGCCCAACATCTATATACCCGAGCCGGGCATCATGGAGGAAGTGCTACGGACCATTGAGATCAACGCCGCAGTCGAGCACGTGCCTCGCATCTGGTCCGACATGGTTGTGTTCGACCACACGCACCGCGAAAGCCTCTTGCTATATGTTCTGCGCATTATGGTGGACAATCGACCCAATGCGGAAACGCCATCGCAGGCCCAGCTCCCGGAGCAGTGTGCCAAGGTGGCCTTGGACATGTACAACAAGATCGAGGAGTCGGTGAGGCGGATCAAAAAGGTCTCGTTCACCGGACAAATGCTTGGCGACATTCTAACTCTGCTCGTCCGAGGCGACAACTACGAGAAGGCCAACGAAGTGTTTTCCCACATTGACAAAAACCAGCATCGCATTCCTGGCACACCTGCGGAGAGCGCGTTGCAGGAGTACGTTGAGGCCTCGATCAAAGAGAAATCACCCAGCCAAGCCTTGGCTGCCCTCCAGTATGCTGTCGACAACAATATGGAATCGAGTGTCATCGCCAAGCGCATCCACGATGGTTTCACGTTGAACGAAACCCATCTGGCCAAGCTGAAGTCGCTTGTCGGCGAGAGTTTCCTCGAGAAGTAGTCAACTTGGTGCTAAAGATTCGTATGTAATTGAGGTAAACACGATTGTTAAGTAAATGCCTTGGCATGTGCTAAATGAATACTATAATATTGAGATCAAACTATTCGAGTGACGGGTTTCACTACTGTTAATCCTCTTTGGTTAGATGCGTGCCCACGGGCTCCCAGTTGATGCCATCGTGAGGCAGCTCGCTGCGCACAAACGGAGATAGCCACGTCAAGTGCATCCGCTTGCCGAATATCATTTCCATGTTGGAGCGCAGCCCACGGTCGTAGTTTCGGCTGCGGCGCTCCTTTGCCACCGAGCCCAACTGAAGTATTGGCCAGTGGTAGACGAGTAGCAGGCTGGATATCGCAAAGGCCAGCCAAGTGAGAAGGTATGTAAGTAAGTAGAAGCTTTCCCAGCAGGGACTCAGAGCGAGGCTCACTGCGGGTACGAACACTGTGATCAGGGTGAATGGTGTCCAATAGAAGTCAAAGTGAACATTCCACAGATAGATGCCGCCCAGGATGCTCGCAAAGAAGGAACCAATCATCAGATACACCAGAAAGTAGATGAAATAACGGTAATTGTGATGTCCAATGCAACAGCATGTAAAGCGGCAATGGTGGTCCCGCTTTAGCACACACACGCTACACACTTCACAGTGCCAGGACCGGGGTGGCACCAGCGCCTGGCACTCGTTGCACATGTGCCAGCGGGCTCGCAAATCGGGATCCAACGGCGGCTTCAGAAGCTCCACTAAAAGAAATAATTCATTGAAACGGCATTTCGAACAGGTTAGCCTGGTTTTACTCACTTCTGATGGTGGTGTCCACCAGCATGCAGGCGAGCATATTCGCGGTGATGTTAAATATTATAAACTGGGCAGCCACCCAAATCACAGTGTACCAGAAGCCTCCGACTCCAAACAACTCCGGCAGCACCAGAGTCATATGAAAGACATATGCCACCGGAACAAACACCACCAGGAGGAGGAGGCAGGACAAATCAGCTAAGCAACGGGGCCGAATCCGATCCCATGAACGCAAAATCATTGTATTCCCGTTATTTTCGCCCCCGGATGACAACTTGATGAATCAATAAACAGGTTCAATACTAGTACGTTGATTTCATATTGGTGGTGCACTTTAAAGTTAAACAGTAAGTAGTAACTAAGTAACTAACTTACTTATTTATGATTAATTGAGAATTACGAACTAGATGAGCAGCCCTGTCACTGCCAAAAACTAGTTCGAACTGAGAGATGATGAGAATGAGAAATGCGAACTAAATGAATAAGTCAGAGTGCAATCATTCAGGAAAGATAAATCATAAAATCAGCCTAATCCTGCGGAGAATTAAATGATGATTTGAGTCAAACTACATTTTAAATGCTGAGACTCCTAACTAGCTAGTAATATCATATATAAACATAAAAGACGAGGAAAATAATTTAAGATTCACGGTATATTACAGTATATTTTGAAAATGCAAGGCTGTATTTCGGTATATTTACGAGGCCCTGACGGTCACACTGCTGCATAGCTAATCAATCTATTGAAACCATAAAACATTCCAAATGCTGCGCTAAAACTTATCAAATCAGTCGCTCCACACTGCAAAGCACAGCACACGAATTCCACACCACACACTCGCACTCCGGAAAATGTCTGGTGCACAGCTGGCAATTTTAACAGTTATTGTGCTGCTGGGGACCGCGACCGCTGGCGTCCCGCTGCAGCGATACGAGGCACTTCTGAAGCAGCAGTCAGCGCCTACCGACGACCAGTTGGGCCTGTACGACGAGAATGACAAGGTTGTCCAGCTGAGTGTGGCCAACTTCAACGAGACCGTGTTGGAGCAGAATCACGGCTCGCTGGTGGAGTTCTACAACACATACTGTGGGCACTGTAGGCGATTTGCTCCCACTTACAAGCAGGTGGCGGAGCAGCTGTATTCCTGGCAGGATGTGGTAATTGTTGGTGCCATTGACTGCGCGGCAGAGGAGAACAATGGAATCTGTCGCACCTACGAGGTAATGGGCTATCCAACGCTCCGCTACATGGGTCCTGGCTTCCAGCCTAGTGTCAAGAACTATGGACAGGATCTCAAATCGCAGGATCCGGCCGAGATTCGCAGCCTATTGGCGGGCTTCCTGGCCGCCGAGAACCTAACAAGCAGCACCAACAACACCTACTGGCCAAACTTCCACCATGTCACGGAGAACGACTCCACCTCAACCATCTTCGAGGGCCTGAGTAGCCTGCGCGAGTTTGTGGCACTTGTCTACGAGCCGGAGAACTCTACACTGGGCATTGAAACGGCTCTGTTCCTGCTCCAGTGGCCCGCTCTGCAGGTGCGCCGCGTCAGCGATCTGACGGCTGCTTCCAAGTTTAAAATTGATCCCACCAGCCATCAATTGTCTATTGTGGATCGCAAAGGGGACATCACACCCTACGCACCTGCTGAACAGACTGGCCCATCGTATTCCGAGACCATTCGGTTAGCTCTGGGCAAGAAGAACATAACTCCGCGGCCGGAGAAGGCTGAGATCCAGCATGCTGCGGTGACAGCTAATGGAGAAAAGGCTGAGCACAAGGCAATCCTCGAAGAAGTGCATCGCAACAAACATTTCGTTTACCAGGCAGATCTCGAGCAGGCCATCCGCACAGTGCTGCACAACGAAGTGCCAAAGGTGAACGAGATCGGAGGCGAACGTCTACTGGCCCTCCAGCGCTTCCTGGGCGTGCTGCAACGATACAACCCTTTGGGACACAATGGCAACCAGATGCTGTCCAAGCTGAAGGACTATGTGGTCCAGTTCAATCAGGAGCTGACAGGCAAACAGTTCGAGCAAGAGCTGCAGCGACTCGAGAGCCAACTGAGTCCCATCTACTCGTCCACGCACTTTGTGGGCTGCACTGGCTCCAGTCCAAACCTGCGGGGCTTCAGCTGTTCCCTTTGGACCTTGTTCCACTTCATGACAGTGCAGGCGGCCGAGAACGAGGATTCGCTGGATCCCCTCGAAGTGCTACAGGCCATGCACGGCTACATCAAGAACTTTTTCGGCTGTACCGAATGTGCCGATCACTTTCAGGTGAGTCACCAGTGAGCTGCAGGCTATCAAGAGTACGTGCTAATGACCACAAAATCGCTGATTGAGTCAAAGCTCTTCCTATGAGATCAGTAGGGTCATCAAAGCACAGGCAGGCGCAGGGAGAGAGTGAAGAGGCAAACGGCCCTGAACCGCTGACACAGGGGTTTTTCCATACGAAAAATAAGTTATTTTTTGTAGAAACTATTTTAACCAGCACAGCTACTGGTAAAAGCGCTGGGTACAGTTCTGCAGCGTCAATCAAATAATTGAGTTTATGGATCAGTAACTCCAGGAACTGCGTAGTCTTCAATCCATTTCGCTGAACACGGCGATTATTGAAATATGTAGCTTTCATTTACTAATTGAACAATCACGTATTTTTCGTGAATTCTGCTTAATAATTTTAACTTACATCCACTATATGCTTCGTCAGCAAAACAATCAATTCATAGAGCAAACTGGTTTGGTTCCTATTTATTATCATGTATTAGAGAGATAACTACGACTCTCCGCAGAAAACTTCCAGATGTTGTAGTTACGAAAGTCATTGCAAAAACCGAAGCAAACACATGTGATTTTATACCCTAAGCCTTGTTGAGAGTATATCATTATCATCTTCAAAAAAGAAATCGTAGCCACAGACTGATTAAATCTGTGAGCCAGTTGTGCAGGCAACGGTCGATCTGCCAGAGTATCACATGCTTCGGTCTCCGCTGTATGAAAAAGCTTCTTGTTTACACTTTGTGGTGCACGTTAACTAAACCGTAAGTTGTACGAGTATTTAGGTGCATTGTACATTCATAAGTAGGCCTCTCCTCGCAGTTGTGCCAACAGCTGCGCACTTGTGACGCATGTATGTACACCTACCTATTGGATAACTCGTTTTGTTTGTGTGTATTTTGCAGGCAATGGCCTCGAGACGGAAGATATGGAGCGTGCCGAACAAGGAAGAAGCCGTACTGTGGCTCTGGGCAGCGCATAACGAGGTGAACCAGCGCCTGGCCGGCGACAACACAGAGGATCCTCAGTTTCCGAAGATCCAGTTTCCGAGCGAGAAGAGCTGCAGTCAGTGCTACCGCACGCCCGGCTCCACGTCGGACAAAATGGAAATCAACTGGAACAAGGATGCCGTTCTGAGTTTCCTCAAAAACATCAACAATCCACAGTTTGTGAGCAGATACGGCGTGCAACGGGAGGATCTGCTGCATGCGACGGCGGAGAAAATGCGACAAAAGCGTCAGATTTCGAGTGTATTCAGCGACATGGATATGCGGATGGGTATGCTTCTCTACGCCTTCTGCATTGTGATGATGGTCGTGGCATTCAAGTTGTTCGCCTTTAAAGGATATCGCAAGAAGCCCTACGGACACGACCTGCTTGGCAAAGTATAGGCCTAGAGACAGAGCGACAAAAGCGAACCAATCTTCAAAGGATGCTTCCACTAATTTAAGTAATGACACAAACACCGAAATGCCGGAATTTACACAATGACCACCACCTCTTCAATGATTTTATTGGTAGCACACCCACAATTATGTTTAAGATCAAAGTGTATATACGAGCAGGATTCCTCCAGTTTTAGTCCCATAACAATACCGATAACATTCGCTTTTTTATAACGACGATGCACACTCTTATGACTCTTTTTCTTAAGTATGCAAATGTGATTACCCTCAATAACAATGACAACTCCCGTGTGCGTTTGAATAAAATGTTAAATGCAACAATCTCTTGTTCACAATCTTGCTTCAGTGTCGAACACATGCTGCTGCTGCCCGCCTAACCAGTAGCACTTTAGATAAGGAGCAACAAGCGCAGTCAGTGGCTGACAGATAACAATCACATTGATGCTCATGATAATGAAACAAGTGTAAAGTGTAAGTGTTACTCGAAATTTATTTCACAAATCTCTGGAAGTCAGGGTGCCACCAGGGCAAAACTTTGTACTTTGCTATGCGCGGATATTTCACAGTGACTGTCGCATTGCTGCTGGTGTCTTCGGCAAAGTCTAGCTCCAAGTTCTTCGCCCGCATATCTGTGCAGAGCAGCTCCCGGGTGGCTCTCAGGCGATACCTCGCCTGCTGTTGGCTATAGGCCAAAAGCGTAGGAGTGGGCACAAACTGGCGGCATACCACAACCAGCAGTACAACTCCTTCGTTTGGATTGCCAGTGTCCGGTGTTAGCTGTCCTTCATCCTCGTCCGCAAGCGACTCCCAGTCGTTCACCACTTGGCCAGCAGGCGCTTCAGCCTCTTCAACATTTACGCCTGGCTGTTTATTCCAAAACTTATAGCATATTACCCACAGGCATTGATATTGTTTTTGCCAACAAGTGACGAAGGTGCGATGTAGCAGCCAGTCGAGATTGTAACTCTGTTCAAGTCGGACTTTCAGTGGTCTGTGGCAGTAAAAGAGCGCCTTAACGACAAGCGATCGCAAAGATTTTGTATCACAGCTACATATTTGTTCCATCTGCAGGTGGGCTGGCAAGACCAGGTTCCAGCCCAACGTCTCGCCCACGCAGTATCGTTTATACAGATTCCGCCAGAATGCTCGAGAGCTCACAAGAATGGCGGTCTGTTTGCATATCAGGGCGAATGTCTGCACGTCCTCGGGATCTATATGCATGGCAATGTGGAACCAAATGTCGTGACGAATGTGGGTTATGTTGTTGTTACTCTCCGCCATGGATGATGCTGGTGCATGGACTCTGACTGTTGGAGTCGGCTTCACCTGAACATAGAGCTCCGCTTGGCGTGCGTATATCGCTAAGGGGAGCATAAAGATAGGTTATTTATACAATTAAACGTGCCATGTTGTTCGCACCACATTTGCCGCTGGTCCGGTATAGTTTGCTCTTAATAAACTCATTGCAATCAGAGGGTTCATGGCTCAGGTTCATTGCTAAATGGCAGTGGCGTGCATATCTCGCTTGTTTATTTAATTTAAGCTCTTTTTTAGCAGAATTACAAAATAATAGTTATTTCAATAACAAAACAAATGCAATCAGCTGTTTTTCCAGACAGAGATGCCAGGTTGTTTGTAGTCGTATAAGTTGTATGGTATATCTGTATATTAAATAAATGTTGTGATATTTTTCGGTATATTTCGGAGGCTCAGTCACACTGGAAGCAGCCCAGTCAGCTGTTGTTTGTAGGCAAAAGTAAATCTGAATATTGAAATTTAAGTTACAATATCAATTAACTGGCTCATTGTAGACATTTTTAATCAACGGGAAGAAGAGAAGCTTCGCCATGGTCATAACCAACAACACAACGCTGCCGGAGGAGTCGGAGCTCAATGTCCAGGAGCTGAACCTTTCTTCAGCGGCTCTGCGTGCTGGTTCCTTTCATTTGGGCAAGCAATGCGAACAGGAAAATAATGTTAGTGAATATAATTTACTTCACATTAAATCTATATAAGAGTGTCCAGCTGCTGTGCAACTAAAAGATCAATTAGGAGCAGCGCAGACACTAAAGTTGGTCCGCTTCAGTTATATAACCTAACCTCAAAACCCCACCGTTCTGGGTTTGTTTACGTTTAATTCCGATGGTAATTTCAGGAGTTTATGCTGTGCAGGCAAGAGCTGGACGATCCGCGTGCCTGCTTGGGCGAGGGAAAGGCCGTCACCAGCTGCGCCCTGAACTTCTTCCGCAAGGTGAAGAAGACCTGCCATGAGGAGTTTATGCAGTACGCCACTTGCCTGGACAAGAGCAGCGGCACAATGGCATTTACACAGTGAGTTAAAGATATGACTCTGGGTATGAGCAATGCTAATCTATACCTACTTAAGGTGCCGCAAGACCCAAGGTGTGTTTGACAAGTGCGTGAAGGATAACTTTGACTGGGAGCGTCCATCTTATGGCTACTTTTCCAGGGCCAAGGTAAGTTGATGCTAAAAATCATATTTGCCAAATGTAACACATTAATTAATGTTAACCAGGTCATTCACTCTGCCCGGGAGGCTCCCAAGAAGGAGGAACTCAAATCGTATCCCGATGCCACGCCCGGACTGCCCGAGGATTACCCGAAGCCACCAGCCAAGTACGGCTCTCGCTTCCACTGGCTGGAGTAGACAGCCGCTATTGTATAGTGAAATTGAAAGCGTTCATCATATAACATAAACTCTTGTTTCCATTAGTAGACCAATGATTTTATTTAACGCTTTTTCGTCCTCGATAGAGTTTGCTTAATCTTGTCAATAATCTGCAGGTACTGATTGTTGAGGCAGCATCCGCAGTAGCTCACCGGCAGGCAGGCACTTCCCTCGATGCGTCGATGCAGCGGCATGTTGTGATAGAACACCCATGATATGTTCTCCTCGCCGAGCACCAGCATGATCTTGTCGAAGAAGCAGCCCTGCACCTTGAAGAGGTCCGCTTCTCCGGTGATAATGCGCCACTCGGAGTAGCGCAAATTGACACCTGGCTGCAGTTTCGAGCGTTCTCTGAGCATTACATGCTCGAACCAATCACGAACTTGTATAATCGACCCAGTTGGAGGATGTTTTCTTATCTGATAACTGATGCGTGGATACAACGGATGGCTGAGGATGGAAATTCCTTACTTATCACTTCACAACGCTTCGAATCTGTGATCTCGGTACTTACATATATGGCACATACGACAGACGAACCAAAACGAATTCAACTTTTTCACGCGGAGCCATTTTCAATTTAGAGCGCTCGAAACGCTTCACAGACACTGCTAGGCAATACTGAAGAGGAGACACTGTCTCCCAATTATATATAGCATATAGGACAGGTAGAATCAAGTCACTTGTAGGGCCTATATGGCAGGCAGATGTTCGTTCAAATGGGAAAATGGCGCACTCTACCTGAGGAGTAGCCACCTGGATCGGGTTTCTCATTTACATTTTTATTGCTAGCGTTTTTCTTAGCCTAGACAGGATGAAGCTTATTCCGCGTACCACTTTGTGCGCTTAGGTTTCTTAATTTTACCACCCATGATACCCTTGATACCTCCGCCATCCTGGTTGCCCGTAATCATTTTCTTATACTTGTCAATTAGTGGCTTCAGGTCGTCCATCTCCTTTTTGCGTCCCTGCTTGGGCCGATTGTCGGCCTTTCTCTCCGCCAGATGGGATTCACGTATCTTCTTGTTCTTGGTCTTGCGTTTCTCGGTTTTCACGCGCTTCATATGCTCTTGGGCTTGCTCCATGATCTTCTTCTTGGATCGCATACGCAACGAAGTGCCCGGCTTGGCGGCCGCCCCCACAAAATCTTGTACGTCGGTGAGCTGCTTTTCTTCCTTTTCCTTGCCCTCTGCTTTAGCCGCTCGTGTGGCCTCCAGTTTCTTGATGTGTTTCTGCAGCTTGTTCTTGTTGTCCGCTTGGGGTGGCTTCTCCTTGGTGTGCTGTCCACTTCGCTGCTGCTGACGACGCTCTTTCTTCTGCTGCAGTTTTGTCTGATAGGTGGGATTATTCTGCTTTGAGCGCTCATCGCGCTTCTCTTTGATTTTGTGAACCGCACGATCCTCTATACTGAAAGCCACAATAGGACGCTGGAAGATTGAGAGGATCATTCGATTATAATGCTTGCTTTTCGGGTGACGAAATATTTACATGTTGAGGGCCAAAGATGTTCGGATTGTTGTTCAGTTTTCGAAGTGCCGCCAAGGCCCTTTGATGCGTCTCAAAGGAGATGAAACCGAAGCCCTTGGACTTGCCATTAGGATGCTCTGGAGTGATCTTGTGCTCCCTCATTACTCGACATTCATGGGGGCGGAAGCCTGTGTATGTCTGAGCCATTTGCTTCAGCTTTTCGTCGTCGTAGTTGTAGGGAAGATTGTGGATGGACAAACGATTCCGTGAAACGAAGCTGCAAGAATGGTGAAAGATGGATACAGATATGATTTGGATGGGCTAATGCCAAGCCTTACCGATTCAAGTTCTTCAGCACTTGAGTCTTCATCTGTTCCAACTCATGGCGCTTCGTCATGTCCGAGGCAGTAACCCCATCGGCAGCCTTGGATCCAGACATGATGAGACCTTCTCTGGCCAGATACAAATTTCTCGAATCCTTTCCAGTGTCATCATCCTTGTTTTCCCGCGACTGCTTCGTCTTCAATTCATCTCTGCTGAGAGCTGGATGCGGATCCAGAACCTCATCCAACAGCGTGAACTCTGTCCCCGCCTGCAGGCAGAGATCTGCGGATTCTTTAGCCTTGAATTTGACGAAGGCTGTGCCCTTGGAGTGACCAGAAACCGCTTCCCGATTGATGATGGCATAGTTGACGACGCCAAATTTACGGCAAACCTTTCGCAGGTCAGAATCTTCGGCATCGAAAGGGACATTCTTGATGAAAACTGTGCAGCCTTCTTTGACATCGTTGGATTTTACTTTCTCCTTCTTAACACTTTCAATGTCCAGCTTGTCTTTATCTTCTTTTGTATCTTCATCATCGTCATCATCATCTCCATCATCATCTCCACCTACAGTGTCTTCCTCATCATCATTTGCGTCATCCTCGGAATCTGATTCTCCTTCAGCGTCTTCGCTGTCATCCTTCACGGGTGCGTGCTCGACAGCTTCCACCTTGGGCTCATCCTCCCCGCTTTCGTCTTTAATTTCCAGCTTTGGCTTCTTATCCTCCGGCTCTTCATCCTTCGGATTCTTGGTGGAGTATTCGTTTTTGCCCAGCGCCCAATCCACAAATATTTTTCTTCCCTGCAGATCTGTGCCGTTCGTTTTCAGTATAGCCTTGGTGGCCTGGTTTATGGTCTCGTATTGGACAAAGGCGCAGCCCACCAGCTTGCCGTCCCCACGCTTCAGTATGTTTACATCCTCCAGTGTGCCCCATTTGGAGAAGTATTCCCGCAGTGAGGCGTCCGTCGACTTGTAGCTGATGTTCCGGACAATGAGTCGAGCGCGCTTCTTCTGTCGCCGCTCCTTCTCTTCCTTCAGACGCTGTGTGTTGAAGGGATTCCGACGTTTCTTGGACTTGTCCTCGCCTGCTTCCTTCGGCGTGGATTCATCCGTGGCATCCTTAACAGATTTCATTATTTTTATTTCCATTTGCGCGCACGTGTGTGAACGCTGATTTATCGATCAAATATACCGCACAGCCATACAAAATATACCGCAATATACCGTAACATGAGTCTTAAGTCATATTCCTCGATTTTGATGTTCCATTTGATTTTACTAGCTTGCAAAGCCTTTTAACACTAAAATATTATTTTAGTCCGCGTGGAGAATCAATTTGGCGTATTATAAATACTAATCTTTATTGAATTGTTAGGCCACGAACACAAAAATATCGGTATTTTTTGCGATTGTTGGAACACACATATATTGATGTTATCTAGCACTAGTTCAGGGCTGCACAATCGGCGCCAAATTCATTTAATTTGATTCTTTCAAAATTTATTTGGTAATTGCTGCAACTGTGTAATTGCCATGCCGGACAGAAGGGAATGCCCTGAAGCAACTCTTTCAACAAATATTTAAACCTATAGAAAATTGATTTAACATTTTCTTACACCGCAAGCAATGAAAAATCTCAGGTTTGTGTTTCCTCCCAGCGTATCTTGTGAGTAGCAATCTGATTCTCTCTTAGTCGTTTATCGTCTCTGAACGCGATCGTTTCGTTTTGTTTGTCTACCTGATATTTTCCTTATGTCTGAAGCGAAGCCTATTCTGTACTATGACGATCGCAGCCCTCCGGTTCGCAGTTGTTTGATCCTAATTAAGTTGCTGGCGGTTGACGTTGAGCTCCGTTTCGTGGATCTCTTTAAGGGGGATCAGTTTGAGAAAGATTTCATAGCCGTAAGAACACATAACTTGGAGTAGAGCATTTTCTATCGAGTAATCCCATCCACAGTTGAATCCACAGCACTCTGTGCCCGTGCTGGTCCATGGCGATTTGGTGCTGACCGACAGCCATGCCATACTCATCCATCTGGCGGAGAAGTTCGATGCCGCTGGCACACTCTGGCCCAGAGAGCACGATGCCCGCATGCAGGTGCTGAATCGGCTGCTCTTCGAGTGTTCCTTCCTGTTCCGCCGGGACAGCGATTTCATGGTGCGTTGCTGTCCAGGCTTACACTCTCCATTCATCTCCACTCTCGCTTACAGTCGGAAATTGCTCGAAAGGGATTTGCCAACGTGGATGTGGCCCATCACGAACGAAAGCTGACCGAGGCGTTCGGCATCATGGAGCAGTATCTGGAGGCGCACGATTACATGGCAGGCGAACAGGTAACCGCAGCACTTAATGCGATTCCCTGCGAAAGCCGAGATGCAATTCAATGTTGTTTTTGTGGGCTCCGCAGCTGACACTCGCCGACATATCCATTGTGACCACACTGAGCACGGTGCAGCTCATGTTTCGCCTGACACGATGGCCGCGGCTGGAGCGCTGGTTTGCCGCAATGCAACAGCTGGACGCCTATGCGGCGAACTGCAGGGGATTGGAAAAGCTGCGTCAGACCATGGAGCGGATCGGCGACTTCCAGTTCCCCCCCGCACCCAACTCCCGCACAGCTGCGGACTAGAAATTAATGACTATTAAAACCGCGTGGGTCAGATTAAGCCCATGGCAGGTCGTTCGGGGTGTGTACTCGTAATTCGATGTTTGTTCTGCTGCTGAAGGGCACTCGGTTACGAGTGGCACACTCGTATGTACCGTTGGTTTCAAAGTAATTTCGTGGGAGAGCCATCTGTCGGTTGGAGGAGCATGTTGACCCACCAGTGGGATCCCGCGGCAGTTTGTACTTCAAATGTTTCGCAAATATTTGACTCTGGCGCGGCTCTGGGTCTGACGTACTCTAATGACATGTCGGCATGTCGGGCCTAATAGCCGTATCGAGTGCACCCAAATTGAGAAGGGTAATCCCTTGAGTGGGCGGCCGCTAATTGCTCTCAGCGCTTACCCACATGTAATTCAATGCCACGGAGGACACCCGGGCACAGCTCAAACAAAACAAAGTTTTAAGCACGCATACACCTGGCTCTTGCAACTCGCAACTTGCAACTTGCAACTGCAGCTTTGGTTTGACTTTTCGCTGTCATCTGTCGGGGCGAGTGGAGACAGTGGAGCAGCGTGGCTTGCAATTGCTTTGCTGTGGCACGCTCCGACAACTTTTCGCTCTACAAGTTTTTCAATTTTCTTCAACGTTATCTCAGCTGCATTTAACCCCGCCCTGCCCTGCCCTGCCCTGCCCAGCCCTTACCCTGACTACAGAGTTTGTACAGAGTTTTGTCTAGAATTCAGCAACTGGACCCCTAAGCACATCCGCTTGGAGTCGCTCTACTCCGATGGGGAGTCTAGCAACTTTGGGCACCACTTTGCATCAATTTGCAAGTCATATGCGAGCGGTACATGCCAGTGAATACATATACATGGATCTGCCAGCGACTTGTCATACATTTTTTTACCCTTTCAATTTGCCCAACGGTCAATCTAGTGGGCAGGGGGCCCCAGGCGAAAACTCGACGAAACTCTGTTTTTTTTTTTGTACTGAATGTGTTGTATGCCTTGCATGTCGCGTGGAATTTGATTAAAGGCCACGTTGGTCCGCCAAATAACGAATTTACTTGTTGGAGTTCCATCGGAGGACCGGACTATGCTGCAACAGAGCCTGGCTGCCTGGCTGCCTGTGCCACCGTCGATTTATTCATATTTTTCATATATTCTGGGCAAAGATGAAATTCATTTAAATTGTAATTATTGTTATTATTATGAGAAGAACACAAATTTGAATGCGGCAGATACTTATCAAATTTTTCGCATAAATTACGTGCAGCATTCACAAGGAAAAAAGTTTCTGAAAACAATTGAAATTGAAAGCCGAGTTCTCGCCGAGTGACAGAGTATTTTGGATGCGTTGCAGCAGTGGGATGGCCCAGCATAAGGCATCGCAGAAGACATTTGCGACTGTCGGATGTTTAACAGCGAAAAAATGTAGCCAAACAATCGCATTTTGTGTGTGTGAACTCTTGCAAGTTGCAAAGAGCCAAACAAAGCAGAGTGCAATATTTTCAGAGACTTTAAAACTCAAAGGGTATCCCAGTAGCGGTAGGTATGGTCCCGCACTTGCTGTAATTAAGCACATAATGGGCCCCAAATTAGCATCGCTGCTGGAACTGTCTGGCAGGATGGGCTCTTTGGGCTCTTCGGGCTCTCCAGGCTTTGGCCTGAACCCTAATGTGTCACACATTGCATGCTTCAAATCGAGTTACGGCTGACAACGACTTTTGTTCCTGCTAAAACTTTTAAGCTCTGCCAGCGGCTGGGCTGTATCCAAGGCGCTGGCAAATACTTTGTGCAAATTGATTTAGTGAAAATGCTGCTTTGAAGTCGGCACCAGAGCTCGCCGTCAGTCAATTTGTTGAAATGGAAAGTTTCCGCTAGACGAGAGCTGTGTGGGAGTGCCTGAAATCTCATTACAAGCGGCTATTAAGTAGCCGGGCGCCAGCTTTAAAGTGTTAGCCGGGAAATTCAATTAGGCCAAGGCATTCGACATTCTCCGTTCGCCCTTCAGCATTCAGGATTGGTCGCCCCGACTCCTGGGGCCACCGAAAAGTGGGGCAGTGAGCAGCAACCAGCCATGCGTGAGGCTGAAATATTGGCAAAGTTTCCCCCTTGTGCCATTGGGACAAGTGATTTTGGGTTTAGTTCCCATTCGATTATTACTCAAAGCCATATTTGTTGGTTTTATTTCGGGTCGAACAGCGGACTGCGGTCCGTGCTGAGTCGCAGTTGAATTATTGATTAAAGTGCTTGCCGCTGACATGCCCGTACATTTGCTACATTATTTTCACCTGCTTTCGGGACCACCGCAACACTAATTCTGCCAAGACGTAGACCTTTCTGTTGTGGTTAAGTGCCTACCCATCTGCCCATCTTTATTGCGGTGCTGCTGAATTTCTAATTAACCTTTTTTGGTTTCATCCGTAGGTTGGGCGCCCACCGCTGCGGCGGAATCATTTATCAGACCCATCCGACTGTGGATTAAACAGAGACAGGCACTTCCAGTAAATGATATTCACGAGGCGGGCTACGGAACCGACCAAACAAACATCCAACAAGCAACAAAGAAAGAAAAGTTCAAAAGATTCCGCATAATTGCTGAGCCAAAAATTTCAAATAACAGGCAACCGAATTTATTTCGTGTCCGCCAGACCTATTCATACAAGAGTATGAAACAATGGCAGGTGGGCAGAACGGGTTCCAGAACGGAACACAACGGTGGACTGAAAGGTAACCGGATAGCAAAGGACATCAAATTCAAATATTTACACTTACACTTAAAGGTGTAGATTATTAAATATACTATTAAATATTTATTTCCATAATGTTTGTATGTAAAAACCGAATATTTGATTTAAATATTATTGTGTTTCTGTATTCTATACAAATAAATTGTGTCAATAAACGAACCTGCCGATGGGGTTCGCAATTGTTCGCATGTAAACCAAATGGTAAACAGTATGAATGATATCAAGGAATATTCAAAGCCACCCATCACTTTTTCGAATACTTTTCGCGGGCTAGCCAGCTGCGCCAATGCGACATTGTGAAAATGTGAAATTGATTTAATTGCTTTTATCGGCAAGATGCGAAGCGGGGAAAATGTCTAGAGTGAAATTATGAGGAAACTTATAAATAACTATGCCAGCCGACCAATGCGAGCTGTCTGTTTATTTCTGTTTGGCCAAATGACGACATTGGGCGTGATTTTCCAATTAAATGTTGGGCTTAAATAAATAATGTGTCTATTCTTGGAAGGAGCAACTAACTGGCAGCACTCGCAGGCACGATTGCCGTTTCAGTTTGTTGATAAATACAATGGCAGGACATTGCTCGACTCAATTTCCGTTTCCGCTCTGCCTTGCTCCACTGTGAGCGGCCAACGGAAGTGCCACAAATGCCAGCAAGTGGTTGAATGCCCACCCAGATCCTGTTTCAGCTACCGCTTTACAACCAGCTCCAGCTCGCATCCCCAGCGACCTAATTTTCGCCTGACTTCATTTGGGATACGCGTTGGCCATTTTTGGGTTGTTGGCGTCGGGACGTTTTGCCCGCCTTTGTGGAGTTTTTATGCTGATTTATGGGAAAATAATCCCCACGAATTTGGCGTCAAGTGCGTCTGGATAAACTTGCTTGCTCTCCCGAATATGTTTGCGCACTAGAATCTAATTTTCCTACGCAAACACGAGCCGCCACCCACATGCAATTTGCAGGCCTGTTGACGGGGCAATGGGGCATGGGGCATGCGGCATGGGGAATGAGAATGCATGACCAGGCGAAATGGTTCCCCAAATTTAGGGGATAGAAGGATAAACAGCCGCCTCAAAGGCTGCAGTGATTCTGTTTGCATTGCATTTCAGGTTGCTGGATCTGGATCTCGCTCGTAATTGAATTGGATCCTTACACTTCTAATTAAATTTTCTCAAGAGAATAGGCAAAGCAGGACAACTGGACCCCCAGGCAAATTTAATTCACTTAATCGAAATGATAATGTGCATATTTTTTTGTGGCTCGTTTAAAGTGTTTGTTAATTAAAAAAAAAAAGAGCAGAGGAGTCCTCCCTCCTGTCGGTTGCCGCGGGCCAAGGAGGTGGTAAAAATAAACCAACACGCCATGGCTCGAGAATTTCTCTGTTCTGTGTCTCCGCTGGCGCCGCCTGAGTGTGAGCAAAGTAAGAATAAGAACGAGACCCAGAGCAAACCCATGCCCATGCTCCGTAACTGAGAGCTGAGGCGGCTGGAAAATTTGGATGCTGACGCAGCGCTGGCCGCACTATTTCGGGGTCCACCTGTTCGGAGTGGTACCGAAATACACGGCAAATAAAAATAACACACAACCCAGAGCACAACTTTGTCGAGCCTTTTGCGTGCACGTCGGCGGCTGTCCGAGTGTTATCGAAACTGTATCCGCCCTAGAAATAGTTTATCGCGAATGTCACGCCACTCTCGCTCTCAGGGGGTGGCTGGATGTTGGGGGCTGTCTTCTCTCTGTTTATGTGCACTCTCGATTTTGTGTCCCAATCCATTTGTAGGGGGAGAGCGGAGGGTGCCTGAACTTTGGCAGACAAGTCAGAGCCCCTTGGCCGCGGCAGCCTTGTCGCGTCTTCGTCCTCTCGTTGTGACATTTGTAACATTTTTGGGACGGCAACAGACAGTCGCTTGATGTCTCCGCCTCCCCACAAAGTGCTTTTCAATAACACACAGCACATAATTCAAATGAATTGTCTGGACAGTAAAGCAGCTCTCCGCTGCTGCCATGAATATATTCAATGTAAAATGCTTCACACATTCCGAATTCTCAGTGATTATCTTTTGATTTATGTCTGCAGATTATTACAACTAACAAATAAATATTCATTTGCAGTGTCCAATCCAATGAGAGGCGAAATGGAATGTTTGTTATGGAATTACATTGTTTGGTCTGGGTTCGTGAGGAATTTTCAGCGAGAAAACTAATAGAAAACTTTTCAGTGTAACTATTTTGTTTTCTATGAAACAATAACATGAACAAAAGATCTCTTTGAGATCGGAACTATTGATACCCTGTTAAGAATTATACCCTTGTTGGCAACTGCAAACTAAAATATAGAAAATGTTTCACTGGCGTGCCAAAAGTCTTATTATTTCAACAAAAATCTGAAATCATTTGTCGCTGCTGGACCCAATTCAATGCCATTTTAAAGTATGACCCAATGCATGCCAATCGCATGGAAATTACGAGCAGCAAATGCACGCGCGAGCCGCAGGCCGGCAGCAGGACAGCGTTCCGGCTCCTTGTCCGAGTAAGAGTCCGAAAAAATGCAGATGAGCAACGCATTTTGGGCTGGGGTGGGGGCCACGTACACACTTGCGCAAATTTCCATTAATTAGAGGGCAACAACAACTATGTAGAACCACCTCGAGACACTCGCAACACGAGTGTGAGTGTAAAAATTATTAAGCACTTTGCTGTTGTTGGTGGCATGGATTTGTTGTTCGGCTTTTCTGTTGCTTTTCTCTGATGAGATTCTAAATTTATAACGCACGACTCATGGGGGCAGCAGGCCTGATCGCACCGAAAAGATGTATAGGCATGGGGGAACGCCCACGCCTCAAAACGCTCGCAGGCGACTCCGAATTCGGATATATTTTTGGAAAATTCTTGAACGATACTCGCACGGTTCTCTCGCGCTTTAAAAGCCGCATACGCCCCGTGGCCAGGCATCAGTGCTAGCTTGCTCAGGCTCTAGAGAAGTACAGAAATCCCTCAAACCAAAACCAACACAAAATGTCTCTTGAACGTGCCGTTCGTGCCAAGGTGAATACCAGTGGTGGAGCAACAGAGAAAATTCCAAAATGCAAACACAAAAATTAATTTAAAAGTGAACTGAAAAGAAATGTAATCAAGAACAAAGTGAATAATGGAAGAAAAGTTAACAAAATTAAAATAAGTGTGTGCGGCAGTTGCTAAAGTTTTGTTTTTATTCCTGTTTTCGATCCACATAGATTGCCGGCAAGCGCAATCCCGAGATGGACAAGGAGGCCCAGGAGTGGGTGGAGTCCATCATTGGTGAGAAGTTCCCCGCCGGCCAGGCCTACGAGGATGTGCTCAAGGACGGCCAGGTGCTGTGCAAGCTGATCAACATCCTGTCGCCCAATGCCGTGCCCAAGGTGAACTCCTCCGGCGGCCAGTTCAAGTTCATGGAGAACATCAACAACTTCCAGAAGGCGCTCAAGGAGTACGGCGTGCCCGATATCGATGTCTTCCAGACCGTCGATCTCTACGAGAAGAAGGACATTGCCAATGTCACCAACACCATCTTCGCCCTGGGCCGTGCTGTAAGTTTCACCCTCAGCTTGACCTCAGAGCCTTACACTCCTACGGCTGCTCTGTGGATATTCATAATTGACTGAGAATTTGTTCTCTTTGCAGACCTACAAGCACGACAACTTCAAGGGTCCCTTCCTGGGCCCCAAGCCCGCCGATGAGTGCAAGCGCGACTTCACCGAAGAGCAGCTGAAGGCCGGCCAGACCATTGTCGGTCTCCAGGCTGGCTCCAACAAGGGTGCCACCCAGGCCGGCCAGAACCTTGGCGCTGGCCGCAAGATCTTGCTCGGCAAGTAGGCGGTTTCCCCTTCTCTTGAGAACGGACGCAGGATGATGATGGATGGCTCCCCCCCATCTGTCTTTGGTTTTTTTCTACACAATATATCCTATATGTATGCTAGTTTTATATGAAAACAAAACACACAATCACGATATACACGCATATTATTATATTTATTTATGTGAAACATCAACACAAAATATTCCTCACCAACAACAACAAAAATCACTCACACAAAACAGCACAAAAGCAACGCAAAGGCTTGTAGAACTCCCTTTAAACAGCCTTTAAGTTAAGTATACTCGTACGCCTAAGTTTAATCTATAAACAAAATAAAGTAATGACAAAAAAATGCCACACTTCGATTTCCACTAGCACTTCCAATTTGATTTCGATTTCAATTTCAATTTCGATACCACTATTCAATCACCTCCATAACCTTGAGCTCTGCGATCTGCGATGTTCTTGCTGTTGTTTTTGCTTTTGTGTGGGTGTTGTCTTTATTTATTGGCCACCCCAATGGACACCAAATGTTCGCAAGATTCTGTTCTATAAATGACTTGTATATATGTTCGGTTCGGTTCGGTTCCACTGAAGCGTGTCGAGGTCAAAGCGTCAGCAGCGTCAGGCCGATTCAAAACGAATGAAGATTCAATATATGTGCACATACATCTGGTATATATTCAAGCAAAATATATTCTGGCAGGAATTTCCCAGTTTGCAGAATCAGTTTCTCACCTGTCCAAGGCGTGAATAATATATATAATGCCCATAGCTACATATGTGCTTATATGTATACAATTTACTCAAGCATATTGCAGGTGCTTCAATTATGAGAGGGTGCCAAAAATGTGAAAGGCCAGAGACGGCTGTCGGCATATTCCACGTCCGCCGCTGCTGTTTCTCGTGATTTCTTCATTTATTTATGTGTTAAATAAATCAAATACATTGTGTTATGGTTGGCCGAGGGTACAAACACTTTGTCAAGAGGTTTCCAACACTTCAAGGAATGCCAAGCATATCGAAATCATTTCATTTACTATAAGTTTGATCTGTGCAATGATTAGTTCCATTTTATTCTTCAAATGTAAACAGTCTCATAAATTCTGTGACTAAGAAAGAGTATTTTGGCAGCCCATCGTGTGGAATTACACATTTTCTAATGAATACTCGGTATTTCGGGAAATTAATTATTTGCCTTATTTGTTTAAGCTAATTGCAGCGCGATGTATCCAGTTGTGTGTGCACTTTCCCACAAATGAACATATAGAACCATTAATAACTGCAATAAATTACAAATAAATGGACACAAATAGTTAGATTTCCGATACATCCCACAATTAGTTGGCACTCAAAGAAATTCTGAATAGCAAAATGTGAGAGGGGTGGATAAGAATAAACAAAAACAAGGCAAATAAATATTCAACTTGACACTGAAATTTATGGGGAAATACATTTTTGATAATGGTTCATTAAGAGATTCTCGGTGCCAATTCAGGGTTATTATTGATGCATAAGAAAGCTTATGCAATGAGTAGGAAGCCTCAAGTATTTCCCATGGCTAATTAGGTGTTCTTTCTTTATTTCGAGTGGTTCATAATTTAAATGGCATTTTTTAGAATGATTGGGAAAACGGGCCACTCGCGGAGGATGTATCTATCCCTCGCAGGTATCTGGTAATATCTGGCACAAGGCTAAACGGAGTACGACGATTCATACTCTTGGATGCGACGATTGAGGTTCTTCAGAGTCTCCCGCAGCTTGAACACGCTGACACGCTTCACCTGCAGCGCCTCCACCGTGTTGTCGTATTCGTACATCAGGGAGGGCATCGTCAGGATGCCGCCTTGGCAGGACAGATCCTGCTGCTGTTTGCGGAGCTTTGTGCGGTTCACCTTCAGACGGTAAAGTTTCTCTCTCATCTCGTGCTGCTTGTCCAGCAGGCTATACAGTGCGGCCTTGTTCTGTTGAAGCTTGTCGGCGAGGGCCAGCGCCTTCTCTCGGTTGTGTTGAATCAAATGCAGATCCACGTGGTAAATGGAGCGCAGCTTCTTCAGTTCGATGTTCCGTTCTGCGGGATGTCACAATTATGAATTGAATTAGATGTAAATGCCAGATGCCATTGGCATACCTTCGATCTTCTTGTCCATAGTGACAACCTGATTCTGAATGGATATAAAGTCGTTTATGGACAGATCCTCGCCCACACGTTCCAGCTGCTTGATTTTCTGTGGAAGGAAGGAAAAGGCAAAAGGTGATCCTCGGAACTCACATCCCTTGGGCCAGGACTTACATTGGCCAAACGACCAAAATTGTGCTTCATGGTGATGAGGATGAAACGCGTGTCGCTGATCTCGTTCCGCTTGACAGCCATAAGTCGGAGCCCGCGATCGACTAGCCGCTTGATGGGCTCCGAGTCCCGGGCCCAGAGATAATGGCGCACGGTCTGCTCCAGTCTCGTCTCAGACCACGTGGCATTGGCTTGTGTTTGGTACAGTTGCAGGTACACCCTGCTCATTAGGAAGCTGCTCATCTGCTTGGATGTGGCGAATCGTTTCTTCGCAAGTTCAAGCTGCTGCAGGGCATCCAGGTACCGCATACTGTAATTCCGATTGTCAATCGGGGACAGCCGGGAGAACACTCGGACGTTCTTGTTCCGCTTGTAGTACTCGACGATCCGTGCCTGCAGGAAGATGTTGCCGTGCTTCTCGAAGAAGAAGTCGGTCGTGGCGGTGATGAGCTCCTCCATTAGTTTGCCCTTGTCGCAGCGCGATCTAATCAAGTGCTCCACATTGATGGTCTCGGATTTGTGGACCAGCGTGTCAATGAGATCCTTCAGAAAGGTTCGGATAATACTCAGCACCTCGGTTCGGTGCTTGTGGGCATTATCGTCGCTCTCTCGTTCCTCCTCTCCCAGATACTCGAACAGAAATGTTTCCTGGAACTGTTCGAAGTCGTTCATAGACTCGTCGACGTGGGCAGATTTCGGGGCTGGCTGGTGCTCATCATCAGTGATCTCCGGACACTCCTCCGGTTCTTCTTCCATGTCTAGGGCATTCTCCTCCACGAGGGGCTCCTCCGACGAGGTCGAGCTTGTGCTGACTATAACCTCGCCGGTCAGTGGGTTCACAAAGACGCCCACATCGGCAATCTCCGTCTCGACGATGGATTCCGCTTTGCTTAATTGCGAAATTTCCACCTCCTCATCCTCGGAAATGTCCGACAGACTGGGCACATCGAAGTCGTTGAGAAAGTTCGCCATGAGCTGCACCGTGTTCGAATCCTTGTCAATGCTGACGTTGGACAAAGTCGAACAAATGGATTCGGCGTCCTCGTCAGACTCCACTTCACGAAGCACCGCCTGCTCATATTGCTCCTCCAGCAGCATCGTGTGCCGACCCTTAAACTTCTCTTCTTGCTTCCGTTCCGCGAGAAATGCCTTGGCATCGCGCTCGCCCTTGCCCTCTCCCTCTCCCTCTCCCTCGTCTTCGCCTTCACCCTCAGCCTGCTCGGATTCGTCGGCTTGTCGCCCCTTCTTTATGGCCGTACCATCAAAGCGCGTTTCTTCGATATTTTTCATTCGCTGCTTTCGCTCCGCTTTCCTCTTCTGCTTAAAGTCTTCCTGCGTGACAACCACTGACGCCCGACCACCGTTCACTTCCGTCTGCTCCCCAGCTACATTTTCTTCTTCTAATGTTTCGGACTGAAGAGTGGATCTCGACTTGCTTGGGTTCGTGAGCTCCTTCTGGTCCTGGGCTTCGGACACTGACGCCTGTTTTGGCACCTCATCTTGGGGCTGTTCGTCTGCGTTCTCTGCGATATCAGTCAGACTTACAGTGGCTTCTAGATCCATTTTAGTGTTTGTTTAATTGTGAAATATTTGTTTGTGTTTGGAATAGGTTTTTGTGTACCTAGTTTGCTCCCAGTACATGTATACTGTGTGTTCAATCTATGCTAGTGACAACTAAAACACAGTTTTCCCATAGTCCACTCAGAGAAATCTCAGAAATTACAGGTGTAGCTGTTTTATTGTTGACAATGCTGTGGAGAGCATTGACTGGTAGTTCTACACGATTTATTACATGCACTCTACACTAATTACGCAGCAGCGAGCTTTTAAGTGTATGCAATGCGATCGCTTTTAGTTCCAGCAGTGGCCGCTGTTAAATGTGGGGGCGACTCTACACAGTCTCTTGTTGCTGTGTACATTTTACATTTATGTGAATTATTTGAAAGTTTGCATTCCTATCTCATCGTTCTGCCTCTCCCCACTCTCGTATGAATATATATCTGTAATTTAAAGCTACTCTCCCCCTCTTCACATTTTCGAGAACCATTTGTGGTATCCTTTTGGGGCTGCTTTAAACTTGATTGATCGTTCCTTTGTCCGTGTGTTTGCGGGGCAAACTTTATGACATTGATAAATTTTTAATAAATATGACAAAATGTTACGAGGCGCGTGGCACATCCTTCCACACCCCCATCCCGACCCGAGTTGTCCTGACTTATTTTTTGTTTTATTTTGTATTTTTTTTGTGCTCGGCATCAGGTGCCAGCCGCCTGCCTGCCTTGCCTCGGATTTGCATAAAGTGCTGCACTGCTGAAAGTGTAATTTGCATAGAAAATGTTGCAGCACTTGGAGTGGATTTCCGCTCTTAATACTTTTCATCTTATTGTTTCGCCGTTGGTGTGGGCTCTGGCCACGAGATTGATTCAGCGCATCCAAAATTCACTTAAATTATGCATGAGCCAGTGCCAGGGAGAAACTTTTTCTGTCTCAACTCGCGCGGCCTTTGATGTGCCGGAGACATCTGGGAATCATATTCAATAAGCCGCTCCTGGCGGGGTAGTTAAAGAAGTTTGCGTATTGGGTTCAGCTCTCCGAATCCCCTTTGATGGTTGCCAAATAAATTTGTCTTTCGTTTCTTTCAGGGCGCGCCTTTCCTTCAGGTAAATAAAATGCTTTATCGTCCTTTAATGGGTGAACAGTAAACAGTAAACAGTAAATAGCAGAGGCACGGAATAATTGCAGTGGTCATTCGTCGGGGGTCGTCTCATGTGGATTCGATAGGCCGCTCACGTTCTGTCTTAAAGTGCGGAAACTGTTTTTGTGTGTTGCCATTTGTCATGCGAGCCAAGAGCCTAATGGAAATCCTTTCGGCTCTTTTGTTTGTGCGTCTTAAATGGTATTTTCGGCTCAGCCCCAGCCCCAGCTCCAGTTCCAGCCCCAGCCCGGCCAAGATACTTGAACTTGAGAGAGGTCTCAATCTCTCTTCCTCTATCCGCCGGCACGTTTCGTTATCCGAAATTATAATTTATATCCCAGCGCCAATTGTGTCCAGTTGCGGCTTACGTGCACAGCGATTTCCATAGACTTTGAATTTTGTGCAGTGTTTTGCTTTGACTTCTGGGAACGCGTCGATAATTACAAATTACGCCTCGGCCTGATCTACTGTGATGATCCGCAACTGAGCTCTGGTCTCTGCTTCTTATCAGCCCCTCCCCATTCCACTCAATTTGTTTTTATGAATTATGCAAGTTTAGTCTGAAATCGCAATTGGCACAAGCCGGCAGCAGGCATCACAGCAGGCAATTGCGCAGTCTGCAAAGGGAAGAGTGAATGTTCGACGGCAATCTACGAGTATTGCCATATTGCAGCGGCTCCACTTATAGACGGGGATGGGATGGATGACTGGGCCAATGGCTGGGGCTTGGGCTGTTATCAGGCTTGATGGATGCTTTAATTACATTTAAGACAGACAATCGGATTCGAGGCGATAATAAATTTGTTGAGGTTTCGTTGGAAACCTTTGAGGGCAGCCACAGTCAGTGAGAAAACACAAGTGGCAGCGCGAGGTTCACAGACAGCCAGCTATCCAGAGAGGCAGAGTTTCGATTGAGGATTAAAAGGAACATCATCACAATGCAGCGATCCCTGCTGCTCCTGTCGCTGGCGGCGATCGTCCTTAGTGCGGCGATGGCCCTGCCCCTGAGTGTGGAGGAGTCCGCCGAGCGGGGCTCCAGCCTGGAGAGTGAGATGGAGATGGAAAAGGAGCTGGCAGAGAGTGTGGAGAGCGAAGAGATATTGAAGACAGGCTGGGACAGCAGCGAAGGCACTGTGCCCAAGGCCATCGTCAAGCGATCCCCCGAGGAGGCGGCAGCCAAGGACGCCAGCAGCTCATCGGAGGAACACGGAAAGGACAAGGCAAAGGCAAAAGCAAAAGCCAAGGCAGATAGCTCCCCCGAGTCTTCCGAAGAGGCAAAGAAGAAGGAACAGCCGGCGGAGGCTCAACCCGAACAGAAAGAAGAGAGAAGGAGAAGATCCACTGAGGCGGCAGCCAAGGACGCCAGCAGTTCCTCGGAGGAGCATGGAAAGGACAAGGACAAGGACAAGGACAAGGCGAAGGCCAAGGCGGACAGCTCCGGCGAGTCTTCTGAGGAGGCGAAGAAGAAGGAGCAACCGGCAGAGGCCGAGCCGGAAAAGGCCGGCAGAAGAAGACGCCAGGCGATCAAGGATCCGCAGAGCGTTGAGAATGTGAATGATGAGGCGGATGAGTATGTGGATCCGCCCGGTCAGGACAGTCAGGCTGAAAAGGAGGATGGTGCTGCACTTGACGTCCTGCCACCAGACAACACCAGCATCGAAGACTACGCCCAAGGCTGCGAGGTGATGGAGGTGAACTCCAAGGAGGCCAACGAGACGACCTACTTCGAATAAGCCCGCACGTTTAGCATTAAGTAGATTTAAAATAAACTAGAAAAAAAGTCCCACACAGGCGTCTCCAGCTTTTGACATTTCCCCTACTTTCCCCTCTCCAACTCTCCTGCCCATCTTTCGCCTTCTTTGGCTGCTTATCAGCGACCGCGCTTGCCCTTATCAAGACAGCGGCGGCGTCGCGTCAATGTCGCCGCAGCTCAGTGGCGATGATGCGATGTGCCAGTCTGATAGGTGCGACTTGTATGTATTCAGTGTTGGTGTTTATACCCTTGCAGAGGGTATTGGAACACTGTGCAGAAATGTATTTGCAGCTAATAGAACTCTCAGCCTGCGGAGGAGCCGGCAAGGGTATCCAGGACTTCGGTAAGCCTTCTCTTCTCAGTGTGATATGAGTAATCCCTCGCTGCTGTCTGCTGCCTGCAGATGTTTTCGGCACTTGGTGTTTTGAGCCATTGAAAACTTTATTCCTTTCTCACCATATTTCTTCAGGGCGCATCCTTTTGTCAGGGCTGTCTGCCTGACTGTCCCTTTGCTGTTGTTCCTTTTTTTTTGGGTAGTCATGTTTCAGTTTGTTATTCATGTTTCGGCTGATAAGGCACGTTCTGCTCAGCTCGTTTTCTGTTTTGGGCTCTTTGGACTCTGCCAATCTTGTGGGGGGGGAAACAACTCGCTCATATTTTGCTCATAATCAAATCTACCATCCGAAATGACATTCATCTGTTTCTTGCGCTCTTTGACGTCACAGAAGCACACCTAATTCCAATTTCTGTATTGCGGGAAATTCATTTAATTAAGTTTATATGTTCGAGATACAAACAAGTCGAAATGAATGGAAGTTTTTTTCGATTTAGACACACATAATACATTTAATTCGTTGGAAACATATTACATTTAAATATCAAATATATTTTTTTCAATGGGCAGCAGGTGGAACGTGGGTCCGTGATCGGAACTTATCGACTTCCTGCCATTTGTTCTATTACGTACCAGCCAGCGCTTGAGGCCCGCCTGTTGGGGATTCAATTAAATAACGGTTCGCAGCACATTCCACACACAAATTGGATGTGCGCAGAGTTCTGCAGCCGAGTAAAAAGTGTACACAAAGAACTCGGCAAAAAGTGCAACAAATCGGGAGGCAGAGCGGCAGAGCCAGGGCAGCATCAGAGGTAGGGGGGGAGAGAGAGAGAGAGAGTGAGAGGCAGCCATAAAAAAGAAACGTGAATGCAGGCACAAAGGAAAACTTCTCGAAAATTATTTTAGTTGTCCGAGTCGTCGAGTGCAGTCGTGTGGAAGTTATACGGAGAAGCCAGCGGGAAAGAATCAGGTGCAGGCAGGGTGATCAGCGGGCAGAGGAAGTCCAAATCGTGAATCAATTCTCATAATTATTGGCCAAGACGGAGCACAGGCTGGACAGTCATTCCGGGAGCGACTTCCACTGCCAATGCAATTTGCACTGAAATCGAAATCCGAAATTGCACAATCCGTTTGGTCTGCTCCGCTGGTTACATAACTCGCAGCATTGGCCAAGATTTAAAGTTGATAATTATCCGAACGAAGCGGCAAATCGACGGAGAAATCCCCTCTGGCCGTTGCGCAAAATGTACACGACGCTCGTTTAAAAGCCGGCAAGCCACAAATACGAGTAATATTTTTGCACGGGTGCAATTTTGACAGGAAAAGGAACAACGGAAAACAAGCAAATGAACAAATGAACAAAAGAACAAAGCAACAAAAAGAACAGCGATAAAAGTTTTGCAACCAAAAGAGCAAACGAGAGAATAGACAAGGCAAGAGAGGAGAGAGGAGAGGAGAGCTGAAGCGCCCGCAGGCAAGAGCACAACATTTATAAATAAAATCAAATCAGCAGCGCCACGAAGAGAGTGGAAGGCAGCAACAACAACAACAAAACGAGAGAGATAGAGCGAACGAGAGGGTAAACAAGATAGAGAGGAGAACGTACATAAAGGAGGAGCAAAATGCCGGAGCAATTGGGTCTGCAGTGGTCGACGCCGGAGTCAAAGAAGAATGCGCCCATTATCAAGATGTCCTGCGGCATCGGGGACACAGATGGCTTTCCCGCCTTCGATGTCGATTCGGAGGCGTATGCCTCCAAGGATGACACCAAATGGGGTTTCCTGGTAACCGGCGGCGCCGAGTTCCACATGCCGCTAACAGTGTTCCAGGTGAGTGGGTCACAGTGGATGGGGACGGGGTGGCCGGTCTGGGAACCCAACCATGTGCCTCTCGCTACAGTTTGCCACAGCTGAAATTGGACTGCGATATCAAGAGAGTACAGAAGGGTGCTATGATTTCCACATAACATTCGTCAAACAGAAACCACAGGCCAAATAATTCTAGCCTTACCTGTAGAAATTCGAAACTTTACCAAAATTCCCATAAGAACTGAGCGTGTGGCAAGTGTATCCATTGCTTCGGTCATTCGATGACAGGCTGCGTTGCTTGTTGACGATATTTGTTGGCCGAATGCCAAGTAACAAACTTGGAGTCACATTTGATTTCAAATTAAGCTCTGACGAAGTCGAATCCAACGTTGGATGGGCCAGCCAGCGCCTAAGAGCAAGGAACATTTGAATTGTTTCTGCCCCGCGACGTTCGACGTACGTTCAGTGTTTTGGGGGCAGCTGCAGCTGCCGTGGCGTGCCACACCGCCTCTTTTTGGCTCACTCGACTCAAGTGAATGTACAATATTTGGGTTAACAATAGGCTTTCATTATTCTATACATTGCACCACAGACACTGCGTTTCGTTCATATAAATCACTTGAAAGATCAAAGTAAGAGATTTCCGACTACTGGCTGCTCTTGTGATTTTCTTAGAATATAGCAATGCCATGTACTACAGCTATGAAACGCACTGCACCCATGATAGCCCAACAAAACTATTTTGGTTTGCAAAATTTTACTTTTGACGTTTTCGCGTTTAGCTTAAAAGAAAAAAACACAGAAATGTTTTGTTTTCTTTTTAATACATTTGAAAAATGGGCCAGCTAGTGGGAGGGTATGCCAAGCCCATTACATACCCATTAAACCTTAAATAACCCGAATCATCGTAGATGGGATTTAACATATTTCCATGTGGAATATCCCTGCTTTGGTAAAAAACTGCCAGCCATTTCCCTAGGTACTCCACAAGTCGAATAAATCATAGGCATATCCTCTAGAGGCGTATGGTGTCTGCTTTGCTTTCAGTTTCCTTTGTTTTTCTGGGTGTTTTTCTTTATTTCTGAGAGCAAACATCTCATACACATCTGCCCGTACTACGTCTCTACATGTCATCTCAGACGTACGCAGCATTCTGGCCAATTGCGTCCCGACAGTCGCGTCGCACGGTTCAAGTGTTGTGTGTCTGCTCCACCGATCAGAAAGGACTTTGGACCAGTTTCATGATCAAAACTTTAACCCGTTCCCGCAGGTAACACCCGATGGTCTGGCTGACAAGGCGGGCATACGTCTGGGCGACATTATACTGCAGATAAACGAAGAGGACGCCACGCAGCTGACGCTGAACCAGGCACACGAGAAAATCAACGCAACGCCCAAGAAGATACATTTCCTGCTGCGCAAGTAGGTTGCCCCAGATATCCATCTCGCTGTCTCTGTGTGCTGTGTCCGAGATGCTTTTAAGCTCTTTTCAATTATGTAACGATACAAATATGTCCCACAGCATGGAGGAGGACGATCCCATGGGCCAGTTTGAGGCCGGCGAGGAGAAGTCGATTGTAATGCGAGTGCCAAAGCCCATGCCGCCGCCCAGTGGTGAGTCTCGTCAGTTTGTAGTCCACTTGCATGGCCCGAACCCACCCCAAAGTCCAGCTCCAACGTCCAACTCCACCGCTTGCACTTCTTGGTATTCACTTGGATTTGTATATCTATTTTTCGTAGACTTCCACCCAACCCCCCTGCTTGGCTCACGTTGTTGGCATCCGATCATGTGGCAAGACCCGCCCGAGCCGCCAAAGCCCAAACAAAAGAAAACCAAAACGGAGCTCGACGACGAGGGCAACGAGGTGGTGATTGAACTCAGCGAGGACGAGTCCTCGGACGAGGAGGAGCAGGTGAATCAACACCCACACAATTGCATGCCAACAACATTTGCAAAGCGAAACTAACCCATTCTCTCTTCTCTCCCCTGTCTTCTGTCTTCTGTCTTCTGTCTCCTGTCGGCCTCCCCAAACTCCACCAATCCCACCAAACCATAATCCCTGTTGCATGTGGCAGGAGCTGCCACATCACCGCATCATTCGGAACATTCGGCGCTTCTTTGCGGAGGTCGGCGACAATCAGGAGCTCCGCAGCAGCACCATCGAAAATATGCTCCTTGCCCTGCCCAGTGCACCCAAGGCCCAGTGAAGACGACAGCTCCCCCTTGCCCGAAAGCCCCTTGCCCTTGCCCTGTACATAATTTGGAATACAATTTGTGTGTGTGTTTGTTTGTGCCTCTGTGCTTGTCGATTGAATAAAACCCCCCGAGTCCCAGCACCCCCCAACCGTAATCCCAATAAAGCCCAAAGTTAATGGAGAGGAAAATCCTTTCGCTTTCTTGATGGATTCCATGCAGAACGCATTGTGGCCAGCACCATCGAGATGCGCCTGCTGGAGATGCAGCGTAAGCTGTCGGCCATTGCCAGAATACCAAAAATTCTCTCCTCCACCCTGGCCACGGTGTCGCAGAGCTTTGGCAGAATGAGCGAGGAGGAGGCACAGGAACAGGCCGCGGCCTACATACAGCGAAAGTGCTCCTACGACGAGGATGCTCTCGACTACGAGCTAAGGGATGGGGGAGACGACGACGAAGACGAAGACCTGATGGGTGACACTGACACGGACAGGGAAACAGACACGGAGGGTGTTGACAGTGATGAGAATGATTTGGTACAGGTAAAGGCAAAGGCACAGGCACTGGGTGGTGTGAAGCAATCAAAGCTGCTGAAGGATGTCACCCCTGAATCGGATTATGCATCGGAAGCCAATTACCCGACAAATGAGGGAAGTGATGCCGATGCCAGCGATGACTCAGAGACGGAGAGTGCGCCGGCTGGGAGTGCGGTGTTCTTCATGAAACTGCCCGCAGCATCAGTCGAAGATGCCAACTCCTATCCCTCCAGCGACGAGGATGACAGCGACTTTTTGAGCACCACTTACACCTGGAACATCCGCAATGTGCCCAAGCTGCGTATCAACGATGAGGCTGAAACCGATGCCGAACTAAGGCCGCAGCAGGAGGAGGAGCTGAAATCTGTGGCAGACATACCAAAGGTGCGTCCTGCCACACCCACACCTCAGGCACCGTCGCAGGAGTCGGCCGGGGGTCAGACACAAAAGGTAATAATTCCTATCATTGGCGTTAACTGTCTGATTGCAGATTTGTCTCTCGCACAGTTGCTCTTCAAACTGGACAAGCTGGAGCGCTCCTGGCCCTGGGCAGACCGTGAGAGAATCATATACAAGTGAGTTGGCTGCTCCACACCCAACTAATTTATGCACAAATGTCTCATACAAACATATGTGTGTGTGTGTGTGTGTCTCCGCAGGCAATCCACATGCCACTTGGTGCCCCGCAAGCCGCTGGGACTGGTCGGACAGCGCATGCAGCTGCTTCTCAAGGCCAAGAAGCAGTAGTCCGGACTCTGGAGTGCTAACAGATACCGACACTAGTTTAAGTTCAAAAGGCACAGCGCAGAGATTGGAGGAACTGGAGGAGCCAACTTTTAATTGAGTTCATTATGAAGCAGCACCAACAGCGGCAGCCTCGACTGAGGCACTTCAATTAACTGGCACACACTCACCACAGGGCGTATGTGCAACAACTGTATGCAAACTTGTTCGCTTTTGCTACACAAACACACACTCCGCTTCACCCGTGTCGATTTTGTAATTAAAGTGCACTCCCAGATGCTCAAAAAATCCAAGTTAAAAGAAAACCAAAGACCAGGAAAATTATATTTTCCCTTCTGTTTCCACTTCTGCTCCACTCTGGGCCAGGCCAGTAGCACAGGTCTGTGCATTATTCGTGGCCATCTGCTGCGTACATTTGAGCCAGAAGCACTTATCCCTCAAACATCTGAACGTGTGCGTCGTTCCTCTCACTCGAGGGCACAGACAATGCGCTTTGCATTGTGTTTGCTCCCTGCTTCCCTGACATTTGGAACATTTGTTCAACTTTGTTTAATATTTTGCCCATATTTCTGTAACTTATTCTTGCTAGTAAAGACATTTAAGTTTATGCGAGTATTTTTTGTGCTTGGAAAGGAATCAAATAGTAATGGAAAAACAAATGGGATTCCAGTGAATCAGTCGGATTATTGACAAAGAGTAGTTCTACATGTTTGAACTGAATGACAACACTTTGGGAATTAAGAAGTGATTCAATGATTAAGCTGACAGCTCGTTTGCTGTCAGGGTTTCTTAAGCAAAGTGTTTGCCAATTTACTCGTCCAAATGCATTCATTTATTTCGTAGCTTGTGGCTTTCCATCAGAGAAATGCAACTTCAGAAATGCTGTCAGCTCATTTGTCGGCCGGTTTCTGCCGCTTTTGGTAATGGAAAACGGAGCAGAGTCTCCTCAAGCCGAGGCATATGTGTTTTACTTCTGTTTGCTTTGAGAGCGCGAATAATGTGCGAATAATGAGTGCGGTGAGTGTGGCACGTGTACCTGCACCTGATACTTACAGCCGTTAAGCGGCAATAAAATGCCACTTAAAGCACCAACTTTACGCGGCACAAAAGTAAGAGCAACACAAAATGAGGGAGACCCCACACACTGACTTGCCGCCATTCGCGTCGCCTGCCACAAACACAAACACAGTCACAAAAGCACACACACACACTGGCACACAGAACGGCAGCAGGAAATGGCAAAACAAGAGCCAGACCGCCGCGGATAGTTCTCAATAAATGTCAACAAATGTTGGACAGCAGCAACATCGCAGTGGGTGCCAGGAAGCTCGGTACTGGAATTTTGTGTGTTGCACGGGGGGTGTTGGGTTTGTATACATCCTGCGACTGTGTGTTACCTGTGGCCTGTTGTGTGCTCGCGCACTTAAAGCTCTAGGGATGAAAGCAGAACCCTTGAAAAATATAAACTGTCTGAAAAAGTGAATCTTGGTGTTCTAAAGATGCTATAAATATAGCTCTCACAGTTGTGCAGATTCAGAAGAAGTACTTGTCATCCTTGCTCCTTAGAATCACTGAACCAAGTCCGTGACAAATGTCAGCTATGCAAACATCGCATGTCCGCAGTGCTTTCCTCACCCGAGGGACCATAGTCTGGTGGGTGGAGCACGACCTGTGACCTCACTTCAAATGTCAGTCATTAAGTAAGCATAAGAAATCGCTTTCTGACACAAGTAGTCCAATAGTCAAAATAAAACAAAGGTTTGTGCTGGGTTTTCTTGTTTTTTTGGCATAGATACACACGGTTCCACATTTTTATTTCAGTTAATTATTGCGCACGTTTATGTAGCACACTAAAAGCGATGGCCAGAAAGCTCAGCTTACCACAGAGAGAGAGAGAGAGAGAGAGACAAGGAGAGGCGGGCGGGTGAGACACTTAACACTTAACACTTAAGACAACAATGATATTTGATATCCACGTAAATTCTAACACGCATAAATACTCGTACAATAAATATTTTATCATCCATCGCTTGGCTAAGCTGCAATCAATTTCTCCCACTCTTCCCCCCTCAGTGGAAAATGTGGGGGAAGGGCGCAACGAACTGTAAACTTAACTGAGGTACTTTGGGTACTTGGGATGGTAGTTAGTTGCCGAAACTCCTTTCAGCGGTAGTCGTCTCAGATGATTTGGTTTTTCTTTCAGCTGCTTATAAACTATGAGATGTTGTGTGACCTGCACGTGGGTGGGCTGGGCTGTTGTTGGGGTGGTGTTTTTTTGGGGGGGGTTACACTTAAAGCGCCTCATCTGCCATCTGGTGATGGCTTCCTGCTGCTCCCTCCATGCAAACAATGACAATGCCAGTGGCACTGGCACTGGGCAGTGGGGCAGGGCAGGTCTCTCCTGCATCTTCCGCTATGGTTGTCATCAGTGTCGGCATTCTGCTTGCGACATCTGCCTCGCCGCCTGCATCGAGCACTGCATCCGCGGTCGGGGTCGGTGTCGGTGCCGCAGCGACAGAGGAGGAGGCTGCATCCCGCTTCTCCATCAGGGGCTGCTGCTGGCGCGAGTTGTCAACAGTTTGCCGGCGACTCTGCCGGAAGGGAATTTTGTTGCGCCAACCCTCGAGGAGGCTCCGGCTGGCCGTCAAGCTCTGGCTGCGAGCTCTCTGCTCCTGCGACTGGTGTTGGGTCTGGTCGTGGCTCTGGTGCTGGCTCCGATGGTGTGGTGCCGAGGAGGCGCGTCGCTTGGCCGACAGGTCCTTTAGTCATACCTTCTCCTCGCCGGGCAGGGGCGGACCGCAGCGCACGAACTACAATCAAAAGAACTGAGAATTTGCTATCATGGTGGTTGGCAGGCGGTGGCAACGGTGCGTTTGGTTTCGGTGTATTTATCTGTATCTTTGTGTCTTTTGCATGCGATTACTTTGCATGCGATATTCAATGGTTAATAGCCAATATTCTGCAGTTGAGTGAAGTGATTAATTGTGTGTGTGGCTTGTTTTATGTCTGTGTGCATTACTCATACGCGCCGTAACCCGTGGGACAAAATTAATATGCAGAGTTTGGAAGAGGGTAAGGGTAAAAACAAAGCGTGACAAGCTTTTAGTATAAATCTTACCGAGACCTGAGTGGCTGTGTAGGAGTTGGTCCGCGGTCGATTGCTGAAGCACAGCATCCGCCACTTGCGCTTCACCTGGGCAATCACCTCCCCGTTGAAGAAGCAGAAGAGCGTGGCCACGCACAGACCCTGCAAGGACGCAGAAACAGAAAAAGAGAGCAGTAGCAGTGGCAGATGGTCCTACCTCTAATGCAATATACAATAATACAATTTCGCATTCCCCGCTACACAGTCTGCCTTCCAACCTCAATATTCATTTCGCCTGTCAGACAGCAGCCTGTTTGTCCGTGGGTTGCCATTTGTCTTTTTCCACTCTCCTTCTCGATTGTCCCACTCATACCCATATACATATGCGACCTCCATGTATACTTATGTAAATGTTTAATGTTGCGGCTCGGGTACGTGCATGGACTACTGTCAAGATTTCTCGTTCGCACTTCTGCCTGGGGCTTCCTTTGATTGCCACTACTCACGAGAACCCATCATAGACTCAATCAGTCGCAGTTGCCCATTCATTCCCGGGCTTCCAAATTGCTCTACGCTCCACACTCCCGCAACGAAGAATACACTCGTACTTCTGCTGGCTTTCAGCATTTTGCATTGAGCTTCTTTGTTACTTAGTTACATAGACTTCAAGTGGAATATTGTGTGGCCCTTCTTCTTCGTCACACAATTTCACCTTTAACAGAAAAGACTCTTTCGGTATGAGTCCCACAAGTCATTTGGAATTGGGCTTTATTTTTGGTTTTTATTGCCCCATTGGAATTCATATATATCAAATTTGAAAACGTTGCCATAAATTCTGTGCAAATATTTAGATATTTTATTTGACTTTTCTCAAATAAATTTGGCATATTTTGTACATTTTCAGTTTTGGCATTGAGATACAAAAGAAAAAAGAGAGAAAGTGTCTTATCACTTTTCCAACTAAATCAATTAGCAAAGTAGAAACATTTGTCTGGCCAAATTCCAGCTGTAGCCCGGAAACTTCGGGTCATGTTTTATGATGATTTTTGCTGACAAATGCTGTTTGCTGGTTGGTTGTTTTCTTCCTGCCAGGCGGAAGTATTTAATTCAATTTCAGTTAAATGTGTTTTTGTCTGCACATCTGTTCGTTGGAAAGTTCCCAAAGGACAGCTTAAGGCTGCGCTTGAGGATGGAAAGTGCTGGGAAAATGTTCTGAAACTGACAAAATGCCAAGTGCACAGCTACTCCGCTGTGCGGCCACACAGAAATAGTTACATAAATAAATGCGCGTACGTACATAAACAATTTTCAGTTTTGGCCAAGAAACTGCTGGGTTTCCCAACCGCATTTGCAAGCTGAAATTATTTTGATATTCTTTACGGAGCTTAAAACTTGTGCAAAGTCTTTTACGACTGGGAGATATTTCGACTGCGTACAGCGGCGGGTCTGGCACAATAAATCCAAATTATATGCAACCACAGTGTGCTCACCGCGTAGCGAGTACAACTTTGCAATCTGGCAAGTAAATATACACGGGGAGCGGAGCATGAAACAGAGAATAAGCCAAAACAGAAAAGTGGGTTGTGGGCGGCAGAGCCACTCAAACACTGACTTTAAAATGTCAACTTTCTGAGCGAAAGATTGTGCCAGACAAGCATCGATTGACATTGACTGTTTTGTTGGCTCTTTCGAAAAACAAGGCAGCTGCAGCTTAGGAGGAAATTTATTTTAATGCCAATGCGAATGGAGTGCTTTTGCTTTAGAGTCAACGGCACACCAAAAGCAATTCGATTGTTTGCTCGCCTGTGTCTATAAGACGGAACTTGCCACTAGGATTGCCACGATAGAGCTTGAGTTTGTAGTCTTGTTTGGATTATTGCATAACCCTGATGGTGGGTGTCATGCCAATCGAAGCTTTTTCCTTTTGCCACTCGTTTCACTTATGGCCATAAGTCCTCCCCTTTCGAAATGAGCTCCTTGCCAGTGCAAATATTTGCAGCTGAAATTGCGGGGTAAATGCAGTTCGTGGACTCGACTAATGAGGCAAACATTTTTATCAGAGAGTCGACCCAAAGCTGGTCTGTCTGGTGTTCTGTAAGGTTAATCGATATTAAGTGCTCGGCGATCCATTGCAGCAGGATGTCCCAATATCTGCGAGAGAAATTTAATAAGCTGCAGCTTATGGAAATGCCGAAGGAGGAATCTGCGTATTTCCATATGCTGTGCGCTGTTGCCCCATTGATTTTCAGTCCCCTCCCCTAATGAGCCGGGGTCCCGGCATATTAGTAATTCCTGCCCCGAAGTCATGCCAGCGTTGGCTTATTTGCATTCCCTGTCTTTGGCTGTGGCCATGGACTCGGGCTGAACGAACACAACTTCTTGGCTTAAACTCTCAGTCGTAAAATCATTTTTATGAATGCCAGAAAAACAAGAGCAGCCGGAAACCGGAAACCGGAATGGGGAATGGGAAAAGATTTTACTTACTTGGAATGAGGCTGTAAACGCTGAGATGATTTCGTATGTATTCTCCCAGGGATGTCCCGGCGCAGGACGAAACGGGGTGACGATATACTGGAGGCCAAGCAGCGGGACAAGTAGCAGCGTGGCCCTGCAGGAGCACAAAGGAAAAAGAGCGATGGTATTAGCATGCAAGGCGACGCGGCGTATGCGTAATTTAAAATGCAAAATGAGGCTAAACTTCCCAGTGCAAAGCGAGCAGAGCGGACAGGCTCTGGGTAAATACAAAAAGTGAAAGAAAATATAATTACGCATATGCCTCGAGGGGCCACACTGGAGAGTCGTGGTGGAGTCGAGTATCGCGGAATACTCCAAAAATAAAAAGGAACAAAGAGCACAAAAACATACCGAAACGCCTGAAGCACTGTCCGGGATGGGCCGCAGCTGCCCTGGATGCTGGCCGGGGCATTCAGCTTGAGCAGCACCACGCGGACAATGTTGCACAGGAACAGCAGATTGAGGAACATCGATATGCAAACGGGCACCACCAGAATGTTGTCGTAGTCGGTGGGGCTCATCCAGCAGCTGCAAGAGAGTCGCTGAATTATGGAATTGCAAATGCGATTCAATTATCAAGTCATCTGCACATGGAACGGGCGGGCCCAACCATCGCTTGATGAGTGATTCGCAGCATCATTCAAGCACTTACTGTATCTTCTGGTCGGCCGAGCCGCCCAGACCACGGGCCATGCTGTAGACGAATATGACGACGGCCGGCGAGCCCCAGCCAAAGGCGATCAGCCATTTGACCAGCCGCTTCTCGGAAATGAACGCTGACACCAGCACTGTGTGCAGATAGAAGCCCTCGCACAGCATCCACGAGTAGTTGGTCAGCAGGAAGTAGTGCAGATTGATGTGCAGAGCCACGCAGCGAGCCTGGGTAAACCAAACCAAAACGGTTAGTATTCACACAACAGCAGGGGCACGCTGCCAGCTTACCGGACTATCCTGCAGGAGCTCCGTGTTGGGCATTACCATCAGGTACCAGAGCAGCCACAACGAGTTGTTGGCCGCAAACGAGGCAAACAGATTCATGTGCAGCGTGATGCGGGCACACTTCAGGGTTCTGTGCAACGAAAATACAACAATTTGAATAGATCAGCATTTGGCCACGATTGTTATTCCACTGGAATTGCAATAGGAATTGGACATTGGCCCAAAATGCAATTTGCATCCCCCATCAACTTCCTTTGTGGCATGCAGAGAGAGCGAGAAGCTCGCTTAGCATTTTGCCTGCTAGGACTGAAGAGGGACCTGAAAACAAAGCTCCAATACAGCTTCCAGCCAAAAGAAGAATGTATTCGTGGTGATTCACAACTGGCCAGCTTGCGGTCAGGCAGCACTTAAATACAATTTCCATCTGCCCAGTCAAAGGTCATGCCACAAATTAAACTCTCATATGGGCATTCTGCACCTCAGGCTAGTCGCAAGGTTTTATTTCATTTTGTTTTGTTTCTATTTTTCTTTGGACTGCAAAACTAATGCTTAGATTTGATTACTTTTATTATCCTGCCATTGCTAGATCCCTGATTTATTCTTTCAATCCATTGTTAATTGAAATTCCTGAGGATTCCTCCGTGTGTGTGGGGGTCGGGCTTCTGAATTAAGTTTTAATTGTCACATTTTAGGGGCAGCCAAAGTTGCTACACGTCACTTTCCTTTGACACACAATTTCAAACACTTTCAGCCAGTGGGTCCTCCTGTTGTATTTTCATCCTCATTTCTATCTGTACGTAGACCGAGCGCACTAATTGTGCTGCAGACACTGGGAAATGAATCGATATCCTGCCTGACGTAGACACAATCCAGCTGGATGGACTCACAGACAGAATGGGGCGAGTGCGAATGCGAATCCGAATGCGGCAGAAGGAGACAAAGTATTTTCTCATTTCCGACACCAATTATTCCGTTTTAAGTGACTGCAATGGACATTTTGCGACAGGGGCCACAGCTTCGGGCTCACAGTTGACTAAGTCATTGGCGCATTTGTTTGCCATTACAGTAACATTTTTTGTGCGGCGCTCAGTCAAGCCATAACCGGAAACGGCAATGACAACGGCAACGAGAAAGAGTACTTCATTAGCCCTGAGTGGTTTTCCATGCTGTGCCATTTAGGCTGGGGCCAACGTCAGAGATGTAGGAGGTTTGCTGAAAGGATGAACTTTGGCTTACTCACTTGAAGTATCCGAGAATGGCCAGCGAGAGTAGGATGGCCAGCAGAGAGATGCCGTAGCCGACCTCATAGATCAGGTTGACGTTGTGTTTCCACTGTGAAAGGAGGGCAAAGGATAGTGCATTGTGTTGATTTATCAATTTGCTGGCAGTAAATCAAGTGCCTGAAACTCACCTCCAGGTCATCGAGATTCACGCAGGTCGTGTAGTTCGACCAGGTCTTGTTGTTCAGCGGATGCTTAAACCATTCCCCATCGCTGCCGCACTCCTTGTGCGCATATCCTGCCAGAGAGAAACGTCCAAAGAGTTCATTTTACTGAGCAATTATCCATTTAGACCTGCCTCAATTTGTCACAAAATAATGCAATTTCCCTGGCTCTGCTCAAAGTTATTTATAAAAGCAGCAAACATATTTGCAATCCACAACTGTTTACGATTCTATGATTAAGTCTTGGATAAATAGTGCAGGCTGTCGGGGATTTTGTTTACACATTTGAGGGATTGTAAGGTCAATGCATCACAGGTACACTGGGAGGAATGCGCACAACCAGCTATAAATTTAATTTTTTGCTGTTCTGTTCACTGAAGTATAATAAATTTACATAACTCATATTTAATGTATTCTATTTTAATTATGAAATATATTTAAATAGACCATTTGCATATTTCGGTGCAGTCTTCCACTGCTCTTCCCTCTGTGTTATTAATTATTATTTTTGTTGCCTTTGACGCCACGCTGGCGGACCGCAATCCAATTGATTTTTAAGACTAAGACCAACACTGAGTAAATTGAAATGGAATTTGTTGTGTTTGCTGAATGGAAATACTTCAATTCAACAATTTTGCAACAGAATCTTTATGTCCTGGCTTGTGTAGTTTTATTTGCTGTTCGCCACTTGTTGTGGGAAGCGGAAAGAAGTGAAGTTCCTCTGTCGCTTTGTTTCAGACGTGCTGATCTTTGGACGAGCTCATTTATGGCCAGTTGTCACGCACGCAGACGTTGAAAATCACGTATATGCTTGGTTGGTTGCCACAGAGCACGACTCAGCTCAGCTCAGCTCAGCTCGGCTCGGCTCGGTTCGGCTAAGCGCAGCACCACATCGACACATCCGTCGACCGGAAGTGCCATAAAAGTTAATGGCGACACAGTGCCAGAGCACATAATCTTGTACGAGCTGGCGGCGTTTTGGGCGGTTGGGGCAGGGCAACCACACAGGCTAAATGTAGCAGGGAAAGTGGCACTTTGCCTAGCCTCTGCCTCTTGGCCTTTGGCTGGCTTCCTCCACTGTCCCTGCCTGCCCTTCCCATCGTTTGTTTTTTGATACAGCCACAAAAAGAGTCATTCAACTTTTGTTATTTTAGTGTTGTCCTGGTCACGGCCACAGTGGGGGTGCTGTGTGGCATGTCGCATGCTGTTCGCTTGCCCCATATTGCAGAGTCGCGATAAATGCACGGTGAATGATTTATTCTCATAAATTGCTTCAAATATTTATGCATAATTTCATATATTCATCATTCAAGTTAATTTTGTGGCCTCCTCATTTCTTTCACCATTTTTCGAATTGTTTTTATCATCTTTTTCGACTTGTTTGTTTGTAATTTGCGAGCTAATTACCGAGCCATTTGGGAATGCAAAATGTGTGCATAATTAATTTGTTTGTTGTGTCGAGAGCTATCCGTTTGAGAGCGCCTCAATGATTCATGAGGCACTCATTTGCTAATTACCTATTAAGCAGACAGCCAGATATGATCTGCCCACTCGGAGCTGCCTCTGATAAACTATAAAAATTATGTTGTCTCATGGGGGATCCACACACATTTATTTGCTCAGCATTAAAGAGTAGCTGAAAAGTACTTAAAGCTGACACTAACTTAAATTTCTCTCAGTTGCTCGAGTCGACTTCATCTCCGCTTAGAAGCCACAAAAATATAACTGAAAGCCCTCGGAGATTCATGTTTATTCGGCTGGCAAATAAGGCGAAAACATTTTAGCATTCTGCTCCTGCTCTTTGGATAATTTAGTGGCCCCAGGAGCCGAGGCTAAGCATCCTCCAGCCAGACATTATGCTGCCGTACGACACACGAAATCAAAGCACAAACATAACAACTTTCCAATTGATTTGGCCTGGCTGGGAGCGTATTCATATTTATGAATCTGGGGTTGAGGCTGGGCTGTGTCCTGGAAGGCAGGATGTGGAGCAGAGCTCAGGTTCGAGGCCAATTAGAGGGCTGCCGTGTCTCCCACTCCACAGGAGCTCATTCTCCTGCTTGTGCAAACAAATTTCCGTAGGCAGTTTCGGCTTCGGCTTTCGATTTTTTCCTTTCCTGTCATATGCAGATCCCCGAGCTGACCCCAAAATGGATGTTCCTTTGTGGAACTTAATAAACAAGCAACCGTTGGCTCTACTTACGTGTTGGATCGAAGCCCGTGATGAAGTCGGGGCAGAGCTCGTAGGCGGAAGAGCCGGCGGCCGTATCCGGCCAGCAAAGCCAGCCATCAAAGGTACCTGGACAGAAAGGTCCGGGCTCTGGGCTGGGTCCTGAATGTTCAGTTTAAAACTACTCATGAATAATGCACATGAAAATTGCAGTTTAAAATACTCACCCAACAAATGGCTGCCACTGCCATTGAGGCGGGCATTGCAGGCGGCGCGAAGTGCATCAAAGTCCGGGCCGCTTTCTGCTACACTTTCAGCAATCGCTGCCGTGCTGCCAATGCTGCTGCTGTTGCTGCTTTGCTCACTCATGACTTGGCTGCATTCAACTGGAGTTGCTGAAAGTCGGCTGAAAAGTTGTGAATGTGTGTTGTGTGTTACACGAGTCCATCATTGTTGCATTTGAAAAGCACATAAATGTTTCCAACAAAATGGCTGTGGTTGCAACTTAATTGGTTTTCCAACTGCTGCTGCTAGTTGCCAAACTACAGTGTGGCACAAGCATATAAGTGGGGAAACAACTACTATCCTCGATTGTATTTGTTCTTACTTTCAGGCATGCAAGGAAAGGTAAGGATTGACTTAAAGTGCCGTTGCGCACTGTATCATTTCTATACGCATTTAACTTGTTTGTCTAACAGTTTTCTCTGTTTTTCGCTGTGGTTTTAATTATTTAATTTACATTTATTCAACCAGCAATTATTGCAATTATTAGAAAAACAGGAGCCACAGACAGAGCTGGCTGCAGGTTGATCCTTATCTCTCCATCTATAATATAACTTGAACGTGAGCACACCTGTTCCGCATCATTAGAATCCCCACAGTAAGAGATTACAAAACCAGCAACTGCAGCAGGGAATCTTTCTCCTGGCCGCTGCTTTGTTTTTGTGCAGTTTAAATGCAAAGCACAGGGTTGGCATCAACATTCACTTGAGCGGAACGGGAAACATTTGCTCAACGGGAGGAGGTCCGGCTGCACTCAGGCTGAAACAAACAATGGCCAAAGCACACGGATGGCCAGCTCCCAGCATTCTCTCTGGTAGCAGAGCGTTTTGATTACGAGTGGGGCGAGAAGTGCCCAGTGGAGTACCAGCAGCAATCAAGCGTGTCTGGATGATAGGAAGAGCAGCAGCAGCAGCAGCACCAGCAGCAAGAGACACTCAATTGGGTCCCCAAAAAGCATTCACTCCTCCACTCACACTGACTGTAATCTTATCGTTTAGGCAAATTGCTGACAGCACTTAAAATCAGAAGCGACAACTGTACATCTAGAGTACAACATGCATAAAATACGAAATTGCAAAGTGTTCGAGTGCCAAAGGAGGGGAGCGACTGAATGCATTCTGTGTGTGCACAACACTTTCGCTGGCATCGATCGAGGAGCATTTTTATGACAGCTGCCACACAAGTTTTGCCCCCACATCCTTCCCCTGACACAGGAGATAAATAATAAGAGTTTTATATTTATTACACAAATTACATGAAATCGCCTCGCATCCCTCAACGCTGAGCTGCTCGGAGTGTGTTCCACAGTTCGGTTCGGGACTTCACCCATCTGAAGGTATTTTCAGTTTTACGCCAAAGCTGAGCAGACAAATTTGGTTATTAACTGGCTATGGCCATAAAAGAGATGACGAGAGAGCGGGCAAGGGCACGGGGCCACTTATATTTAACGATGCCTCGCGACCTGAGCCATTGACCTGGCCCAGTGTTCCAGTGCTCCAATGAGTGAGCGATTTCTTCTCAGTGATTGGCATGGCAAATAGTTAGTGGGGAAAACATAATTGTTCGACTGACAGCAGGAAATCCAATAACTTCTTGGCGTATTTTGATGGAAAAGTGCGTCGAATGTGGTAGGACTTCGTAGCATACTTTCTCGCCAGCTTAAGACTTCTCCTACATTTAGGAGTGTTGGCGTAGGTGTGGGCGTGGGTGCTGGGTGCTGGGTGCTGGGACGCCCTACTGTGACCATAAAAATATTTTACGACAATGCGCGAAACTCACGCAAAACGTTGGCAATAACAGAAATTAGCAATAAAAAGAAAAACGTGCGGAAAGTGCCATAGGCGAAAAATAGCCGGGAAAAAAGTTGCTCCAAGATAGCGTAGAGGCAGGGGACTGCTCGAGGGGTAGGGGACACAAAATAGGGATGGGTGAAAGCAGCTGTGTGGCGTTAAGTAAGCTTGACTCGACTTCGAACCCACGCGCTAATGTCCGATGCGAGGGAATCCGTAAATTGCATTTGATAAAAGCGAACGCGAGGAAACTGCAATAAAAACAGCAAACCATCGAGCGGGGGGCAGACTCGTAAAACTCGGGAAAATGTATTTCACTGTTATGTGTGTGTGTGTGTGTGTGTGTGTGTGTGTGTGTGTGTGTGTACTGTACACTGTTACATGTGTTGCGGCATCTATTTTAGCACTCAGCGCCGTGAAGTGGAGCGGACCGCGGACGCATTGTGAAAAAAATCTGTTCGGAAAATGTTTTCGCTGTTGACGGATCGTCGTCGGTTGGTTGTGTATTAAAAAACGAAGCCATGCGAAATTGTGGCAACTGCATATGTCACAATGTTTTCGCTCACCCAAGCCACACGCGATGGTTTTCCCTCTTTGAGCGAACCCACACGACGTATGAGTAATGAAATGTTTGCTCGCTGATTTCCAATTCGTTGGCTGTCAGCCCAAACAGAGAGCTGAATCGAAGCTCAGAGCTCAGTGGCACGGAACCGAGTGCCTAAATGTTGAAAGCGTTTCACACTAGTGGTAGTATTCCTTTTTTTGTTCAACAATTTATTGGAAACATAAATCATGTTCACATATCTACAGTTCCCTTTTGGGGAGAGCTCTTCTGGCTCTCGCCTTGATTTATGCTCAAATTTCTCTTTGATTTCTGTTGGCCGTCTTTAAACAAACAACAACGGCATTAATTATTGATTTGAAAGAAGTGCTGGGGCCGTGGCCATGGCCGTTCCCCTTGCAAAGTGCCCCATGAAAGCAGACAAATGGAACATAAATCAAAATTTGGTATGCCTAAAGAGTTGGCGTTGAAATCCCTTTAAATGGCATTTCGGCTGAATTTCATCTAGTGGCTCCACGGCTCCGATTTGGCCAGAGAGCTTTTAGCATTTTTCAAAAATATTGCCAATGCCGGCATCTGTCTAAAATAATATTTTTGTAGTGGCTCCCACTGCCACTGCCACTGCCACTGCCACTGCCGCCCACTCTGTCCCACAAACAGTTGGATATTCGTTGAAACGTTTTCTGATTTTTGCAGCTTTTGTTGAAAACGGAATAAAGGGCGCAGTCGATGGGATTCCAATTGCTGTTTCTGTTGCGGACTCCTGCAGGAGTCTCCGCTGCTACCTCCTGTAATTTATTCATTACACGAAAGAGTCCAGAGGTTGGCAAACAAAATAAAACTGGATCAACACGTTTCGTTTGATGGATGTTGGGAAAAAGAATTGACATATTGGCTCATGGCCAAAAGCATTTCAATTGAATATAAAATCAACATAATAGATACAGATTCCCTCAAGATTCAGCGTTGAGTCAGTTAAATACAAAATAAATGTAGCAGTGGGACTATGGAAGTTATTCCAAATGCAGAAAGTTGCCATTTGAGAAAGAACAAAATGGTCTTAGGTCTTATACATTGTCACATCTTTAATCACTTTCAACTAATTCCGACTTTAGATGGTTACTTGGAAGCGATTTGATCTGCCATTCATCTCTCCCAGGAAGAGATTCACAACCGGAGATTCATAACGTATTCAGTTCGTTTGACCCTTGATTGAATCTTGTCTTGTCTTGCACTCTTGCGAGTGCATTCGTGGTCCGAGGAATGTGTCTTTCTGCATCATTCATAAACAGTCGCCTGGTGTACGATCTAGGAGAGTTCTCTGATGATTTATCGACTGAGTGCACAGGGAAGTAGCTCATATTTCAAATAAATACAAACTGCAAATAGAGAGTAGCTCAGGAGCTCAGCAGACAGGACTCCAGTGGCAGCCTTTATGCGTGGCACAGCCACATCTCGTTGCGTATTAGTATGCGTGAGTGAGCAGCATCTAATAGCTGGCGAGAGCCGTAAAAATGTTGTTGCAGATTACTGGTACAAGCGGTTTACATGTAGATATATTTTACGCACACTTCCCACTCGCCTCCAGATTCAGAACAGCGTGAAAGCCGAGTCCTAATGGATTGGAATAATTTATAAAACCGGCCACACAAAGACCCCACCAAAAACCAAAAAAAAAAAGAGATGAGGCATTAGCTTAGTCAGCCGGGAAAATGAAGTTTTAAAAGCCCGCAGCTCTGCCGAGTCTGGGCTGGGCCTCGGTCTGGTACTGGGGCTTTGCGGCACATTCTTGCTTTGTCTTTATGAGCCTCCTGGTGCTGGCATGTTCATCTTTTTGCCCCAGAAACTCGCCCCAAAACCCCTTAACCACCAGCCGACCTTTGTCCTGCGCTCGTTGCCCAGGCCCAAGGTTCGTGGCTGCTCGGCATAATGTAAAACTTGCCTCATCCTGGCTCCGGATGCCACTGCAGGGGCAGTAGCCTCTAAAATGAAATACGTGCCACACGTGCTAAATGCCTCGTTCTCGTTGCCTCTCAGCAACAATTGCACAATTTGTTCGCATGCAAAATTTGCATATTTCTGGGCCAGTAGAACGCAGAGTGGCAGAGGGGGCATGGACTGTTTGCTGTTTGTTATTTGTTCTTTAAAGAACGTCTTGCGGTCTACTCAGTCTACACACACACATGTCCAGCTGTAAGCTTCGAAGCAGTAGATACCCCGCACATCTGAGTTCCTCATGGAATTCATTCTGGCCGGACTCTGGTTAGTTTTGAGCACAAGTTATACCGAGGCTGAATGGGTATTACATGCTAAGAGTAGCTGCTCAAAGGCACACTTCGTGCACTGGATCCTTTTCAAAGTGTGACAGTCTTGGCAACAGGCAATGAAAACACCACAGCTACAGCCCCGCAGCCCCGCAGCCCTCTGCCTTTATTTAACTTTGTCATTTGGCCAAAGCAAGGGCTGGCCCCCAAAAGAAAACGAGAAAAATGAGAATTTTTGTGTATTTTAACAGCGCTTATTTGTTGTTTCCTCTTATGTACTTTGATTTCAGCAACTTTTGCTCGTGCTGGGGGAAACAATAATTTCATTCGAGGCGTGCCTAACGCAGAACTTGATTATATCCTGTTTTCCCTCTTTGCTGCTAGGATACAGGACTTTGCCCAAATATTTGGTACACCAATTAAAGAGTGGGGAATGGTGCAGAGTAGGCCGGGTTTAATTAAAAACAAAACAAAACAAAACGAAGCAAGAAACCAGCCAATCCATTGTGTTGAAGTTGAAGCCATTACTCTGCCCCAATGAACTCTAAAGAAATTTTGAATGTAGTTGGTGTAAAACCTCGATAAATCTTGTGGCAGCAATTGGCAGAACAGAACAAAACTCGTGTAACAGGATGAAATATTCCACCGGATAGCAATTTATTTGCATTGACATTTGTTAAGGGTTTACTTTATCGAAACTGCAAGCTTAGTTTATTAGTTATTTGTGTAAATAGGAATTATTCTGAGAGCCTTTTTGGTGTGTTCATCTTTCTCTACAAATCCCAATTGTGTTAATTCTTATTTATGATTTCCCCTCTAATACCGCAGCTCAATTATTTCAAAAGCCACTTCAGATTTGCCCTCTGCCCGCTGCTCCAGCGAGAAAAATGTACAAATTAGACGTTGAATTATTGCTTTCAAGGCACGCAGCAGCCGGCATGGAATCATTTGGTCTGCTCACGCACTTTCACTTCCTTCCGGGGGGCGGGGGGGCCCGAGTCGAGCTCAAGTCATAGCAATAACATTGCTCTTCTGCTTGTACGTGGAATACCACAATATTGGCAACACAAATTGGCTGTGCATATCTTCAATTTTGTGCACGTTTCGCTGAGTTTTGTTTAAAATGTGTTTACAATTGACTAAGCCCGGTCCAACGGCCTCCCCACCCACGCGTCCCCTTGTCCATCTTTCAATTTCTATTCTCAATTTCAGAGTTCCTTCACCTCCACCTCCACCTTCACCTCCACCGCTGCCTGCCAGCCAGTCATCCGTTCTAATGTGAATGACGTTGAGGCGGTGTCGTGGGGAAAGGCAGTTTGATTTTCATATTCCATTTCATTTGCAATTTACTTTTGCCTTCACACAACTGTTGCGCCTTTCATATGCAAATTCCAGCTGTTGTTGTTGTCGATTCTTTTGTTGTTATTGTCTCTTCTCTTTTCCTTTTCCTTTGCCTTTTCCATTGCATTTGCGTTTGTTATCGCTCTGGGCGGGGGGGGGGGACTTCTTTTGTTTCTAAATCAATACTCGCAACTACAGTTTCTTCTGCTGCTTCTGTTCTCCATGTAGGAAACAAAACAATTCAAACTGATAAGCAAACATCCATAAGTAAGTGTATGCCGATGTACTGCGATGACCACGGAGATTCCCGTTTGGCGGAGTTTCCTTTTCTGTTTTTGTTTTGTCTTGAATATTTTGGTGGTTGCTTCTTGTCTGCCTTTGTGGCGGTTGCTATTTCAATTGCTGCTTCTCCGAGCATGTGGCCTTTGTTGTGTGTTGTGGCTCGTCTAGTATGACATCTACAGCTCCTCGTCCTGCGTTCTCGCATGCCTAATGGTCGAACAATAGTCGCCGTCGGGGCTCAACAATTCTCAGAGCTGTAACTTTGTGTGTTTGAGCTGCTCGCAAGTCGAGAAAGTTTGCGCCCAGCTCGGACAAAGGCAAAGGCAAAGTTCGCGGTGCGGGTCGGAGCGATTTGCTCCTAACTTTCCATGGGCTTTTGTTGCCTGATTTGAATTTATTTATCTGTGATTTATTGCAATTTGATGTAGCGTAATTGTAACTAGTGGGGGGAAGATGACACTCAAGACTATTAAAGTTTAGGCAGTGCCACGCACTCGAAGTTTACACAACTCCCCTTGTAATTTCTTCTTGTCAGAGCAAAGTTTTTAATTAAACTCACAAAAGTTTGGAGCGGCCCAAGTGCCTGAGTGAAGTGGTGGCCAACCGATCGGCCAAACTATCGGCCAGTGTTTCGAGCTGAATCTAATCAGAAGCAATGGGGGGAAAACGAACTGCGTCAATCGCAGATAGCTGGCATTAGTCTGTTCCTATCAAATATTAATTAAATGTATCTTAGAGACGCAGAAGCAACTAAGGAGCGGCAGTGGCACGTGCCAGGTCTAAACTTGTTGCGCTCCTTATTCGCTCTTCTGTTTATTTCTTTTCTTTTCTTTTCTTTTCTTTTGGCAATGTGTCAGATAATAAACTTTTCCCGCCAGTTGGCAACTTTTGTTGTTGGTGGAAACGCGCTTTAGTTGGCCAAAGATGCTCCAAATGCTGGCTGCCGAGCTGCTAATGAAGTTGAACTTCTTGGGCTAATTAATTCAGTTGAAGTGCAGTTCTTCTGCCTCGAACATCGATGCCCGGCCCGACATTTAATTAGGCTTCGGTTGACAACGGCGACGGCGACGACGACATGAGCACGAGCTTGAGCATGAATCTGCGTGCCAAACAAATGATTCTGTTTGCTTGTGTGCTGGCTGGCCACAAATGTATCTGTCAGATACTATCAGAATGCCATTACAGGGCGAGCAGCCAGGCTCGCTACTACTCCCTTCGGGCCACATTGTGTTCTTGTCATTTAGTGCTTATCTGATTCGCCTTTTCGCTCACGGACTACAGACCACAGGCTGCTGACTTGAGTCAGTTTCAAAGGAACTGCTGGAAGCCTTTGGGCTTCGTGTGTTATCGGCAACTGCCTTTGATTGTACGGCTCGAAGCCAATTAAAATGATGTTGCCGCAGTCAGAGTTGGCCAAGCAACCGCCCGACCGACCGACCACTGACGGATTATTCAATAAACTTGGCCAAAAGTTATCTCTCTCTCAGAGATAAGAGACAGACTCTCAGACACAGAGGCATTTCCTCTTGGAGCGATGGCCCCTCCCTGATTGTGCAACAATAAATAAATGCTAACCAAATGCAACATGCGCTCCCAGACAACGCAATTTTTGTGTGGTTTATGCCACAGGGAAGCGCAGTCTGGAGATAGTTTGTCCAATTCAAAAATCCAAGAGGAATATTCTAGTTCATTGTGTAATGGAGCACCACAGCAGAGCATTCAGTCGCTACCCAATTAGACACGAACCGAGCAAGTGCCACACAATTCGCACTCAATTTGGCTTAAGCAGAGAGAGCGCTGAGTGGGCAAACAAAACCCTCGAGAAGCGACAAGGAACAGGAGAAGGGAGAACCAAGGAACCGGTGGATGGGTGGATGGGTGGAAATGCCGAAATGAATTTTCAGACAGTGAATTATGCTTTCCCCACTCAACCTATTCCCCATTCTGGGTAATGCCTTGTGGCGGTGCCTTAATTACCTGCAATTTGGTAGCCGCAACAAAAAAAAAAAACATAATGAAGGGGATAAAACGTGAGAAAAGCCAACAAAAGCGCGACTCAAGGAGTTGGCTTCTACAATAAAGCATTTTTCATTTGCCCGGACTTGGGTATGGATTTTATTCTCAACTCTTTGGAGAACAAGCAGTGTGCCTGTCCGGCAATAGATATAATACCCCATAACTTACCATAAATTGCGCGGGCGGGGCGGGGCTCTGGGGCGGCATAATTGCTGTTTATGCATACTTAATCAACTGGCCCCAAAGTCGAAAGGCAAAGGATTTAATGGCCAAAGACTAGCTGATAACTTCAATTAGTTTCTGGCTTAACAATGCCCGCGAGGCAATGTCCTGCGGCTCGGAAATCGATAGGTGTCTCTGTCTGGCACTCTGGCTGCCACTCACTTGGCTGCGAAACGGAAACCACTTCCAGGAGGGAGCAGCAGTACTGGGAGCAATAGTTTATTTCCTTTAGGCCTGTTTATGAAACATTCTGCATTATTTACGCCACCCGATGCTCATTAGCCAGGATTTACCAAGTGGCAGGACAGCAAAGGGCTTTAAAGCACATTAACTGTGTGTCCTGTCCTCTCCTGACCTTTGGCCGCCTTAATCCTCCTTCATGCCGCTCTGCTTGTTTCCATGCCGCATAACACACCAAATGGCACTCGCGCCCCAGAAAATCTGTCTCTAATTGAAAGGGAATTTCGTGCAAATGTGTCCCTAATTAAGGTGGCAACATTTGCTGCTAAAAGTTCTTGCCGCACCCGAGAACAAGTAATTGGCTGTTGTCAAAGAATGGGGCGTGCCCCATTAAACTGCCCAATAAGCAACACACAAAACAAATACAGCAGGGAAGGCAGCCAAAGCACATTGGCGACAATTTGGACAAACACTTTGCAGATGGACACTCGGGCATGCCACAATTCGCCTGAGTTCCCTTTTCGTTGCCCCTTTCCGTTTGCAGAATCTTTAATTAAGTTATGGCACTTTTTAATTGCTCATTACGAGTACGCACAAATGGGGCCAGAGCTGCGACTTGCTGCAGCGCGGGAGGACAGGGGCCGCGTGGGTGCCGTCGTCAAATTCTAATGCAATTTTCATGTTGCAGGCGAGGCTCGGCACGCCGCCAACGTACCACAAGAGAAATTTGTTTATTTATGCCATGTGATGCTTCTGTTGCAGTTGGAACGTTGCCACATGTGCGGCCGGGGCAGCAACATAAATATTACGCATACGCGGCGTGCCAGGCAGAGGCTAGGAAGAACCCGCTAGCCTGGTTTCCCCATTTGACCAGACCAGACCCCTCAGTCCATTCGATGATTGCATTCAATTATGCAGCAACAAAAAGCCATCAAAGGCAGATTGACAGTGTCTTGGAGTCTAGATTTACGATACCAAAAATGGGATTAATGGAAGTTACTCTCCTCTTTGGGAGTTATGAGACTGGCCATGACTGCGGTAGATTGTGGTAGACAAAATTTATCTGCAATCTGCAACTAACTTGATGAGTAATCGTTTCAAGACCCACATTAAGTTGTCATTTTGCCCACACAAATTTTGATGTTATGCAAGGCCAAAGTTTGAGTTTGCCTCCGCCGTTTATCAATGTCTGCGGCAGCAAACGATTCAATCTGAATGTCTTATGCCGCACTATTTTGTGGCTCTGTGGCTCTGTGGCAGGCTGTGTGCGGCACTGAATACGGCGCAAATCGAGGGCGCGACGTCTTCTATTTACAATTTTAAATGACATTTTGATGCGCGCCTGTCAACACTTTTGGCCAAAAATGTTGAAAAGTGTTTGACAAGCGACTTCCGGTGTTGATATGGTGGGTGCGCTCCTGTCTGTGCGTGCCTGCTAAGTCGCATTGACAAATTTATTTGGGGGCACATGTCTCGCCTGGCTTCATTTGCAACTGGGGCCCGCTTCGACGCTTCGACGCTCCGTCGTAGGCTTCGTGTTGCCGGCTAATGGTAACAAGTGTCTGACAAGTGTTTGAGCAACGCAAAGGAGGCTCGGTCGAGAGCATGAGCATGGCATGCTCTGTGCGAGATTTATGGGAGTGGCTGCTCAAGTATCCAGAGAACGTTCCCCCCTTTGCCACCCATTATCTAAAGAGCATATCGCTGTTTGCTGCTAAAAGATGCTGCAAATCATAAACACGGCAAAGCACAAGTAACAGGCAGTGGAGGCAAAACGGAAGTGGCCACCAACAGGTGTCCCTGGCCATGCCGCGACCCATGTCCAGCACTTGTTTTCGTGGCATGCGGCCTCGTTAATTTATGGCATACTCCCTGGGCATGACAGGCATTTCGTCGACGTTGCAGCGATTCCCTCGCTGTGTGACAACGTTGCAATTGATTAACGTTGCAGCGTTGCAAATGAAGCTGAACAGAGTGTGGCCCCCATGCCACATGCCACATGCTCAGCGGTGTTTTGAGCTCGGTGGCTTATCAAAGAGACACACACACGTCGCTCATGAGCACCTGTCCAGGGACTTTGCCCTCTGTGTTGATTCATTAGCGTTGACAGGGGCACAAAGGAGCTGTGCGGCAAACGGCAGACCCCTGCCAAAAAAAAACACACACACACACACACACAGCCTTCGCCTTCGCCTTCGCAGGCAGCGATGGAGATGGAGGCAACAAGAAAAAGAGACAGAAACTATTTCTTGAAGTTGCACGAATAATTCCTTGAAGCAACGACTAAACGCTGCCACAAGAATGCCGCGGGCCAGCCGGGCAGGAAGAATCACGACTCTGGGATCCAAGGGATCCAGGAATGGTCATGACAAGCCACCGCTATCTGGCAACAAGCAGATGCTCCTGCTGCTGCTGCATCGCTTTGAAATGTTTGGCCAGCAGACAAATAAGTAAATGTTGATTGTCTCTGCAGCGGCACGTAAACGATACTGACGGGCCCAGTGGATGGCCTTTCCATCTGTCCATCTGTCCATCTGGCCCGGCGAAACTTAATTTCTACATTTGCTGGCAGATAAAGACGTGGTGGCTGAGTGGGTAAACGGGTAGCTGGGAAGCCGCACAGTGGGCATCTCATCTATTCCATTAGACGCTTTTAGTGATTGTTAAGTTCCAATTAACAACTTTTTCTGCCCGTTGCCGATTGCCGATGGCTGGATGGATGGATGGATGGATGGATGGATGGCCTGCCTTTAAAGGTAAAATCCACTGCTGCCGCCAGTGGCCAGTGGCCAGTGGCAGTGCCGGTTCGGGTCCACTGCCTCCCTGAGCCGGAGCCGCCCTGAGCACAAGATGTTGGCCATGTCTTCGAAACGTTAATTGAACCCGCACACACACTCTGGACTGGTCTGGTAAAGGCCCCATGCTTCCATGCCCATCCAAGTGCCACATCCAGTAAGCTGTGTAGCTTGTTTGTTTTGGCTTTGTCACTGATGGACGCAACTGTTGCACGCCGCAGCCCCGTGCCTCCTTCTACCACTTGCTGTGTGAGTCACGTCGGCGTGTCGTGTAGCACACGCGAAAGATTCACCAGGCTGTTCTGCTGTCTTGGCAGCGATTTTCCTGCATTGTAATTCTTTATGATGTCCAATAACAATTTGTTTTAATACTCCAGCTATGCCTATGGACAGCTGGGGCCCTGGCCTCAGCCCCGGCTCAACTGCCACTAACAATGTTGATCCCCATCCCCATCCCAGTAATCATCTGAGAATCTAAGCATAATGAAAATTAATTGAAAAACTGATTGAAATTGTGCACTGAGCAGTTCAATCAGCGCGGGTCTTTTTTCAATTGTTTGGATTCATTTTTCAGCTCTTTGCGCTCTCGCTGCTGTGGAGAAAATTGCGATTTTCGTTTTTAATGTGTGGCTATTCCCGACAAAAATAGCTCAAAATTGCAATTAATTTGAATATGTTTAATACAATAAACACTGCCACGGCGATGAGGGAAGAGATGAGCTATGCCAAATCCATTTGGCGAATTTGATTGTCTATTATGAAATGAAGTTGTTGAGCGATTTTGACAGCAAATGAATTGGAGGGGCAGGAGGCCTGAGGCAGCATCCATGGGAAATGCCAATCAAAGTGGAATTGCCACATTTGATGAGGGTATTTCGTTGCCTTGTGACCGATTGCCTGCGCCTTTGTATTACAACTTTTATTGAATTTCAAATGAAGAGCGGGCTGATGAGCCAGATTGATTAGAACAATTATTGTATATTGAATTTGTACACATCTTTTTGTATCTGTTAGCATAATTCTGCAGTAGAGCTGCTTGGCAATTATTCCACTTATTTGTTGGTTAGTTATTTTCGTTGAAATCAAAGCAAGTTCTTTGTGTTACCCGTTTCTGGTAACTTGCTTCACGCTCGAATAGGCAAATGAAATTCGTATTTGATAATCGCATTCCCTTTGTTCTAAATATTTCACAAGTGCACTTGGGTGTTGTCAAATTGCCAAGCAAATGAGTTGTTTAACTCGCACAACCGTAAACCATATCTCAATAAAAGAAGACTGCAAAGACATAGAATAAGAATCAGATACTTCCTGAGTGGCCAACTCGAGAGCCATGATTTATTAGCCTCCAGATGCTTTTATACAGACTGTACGTATGTTAGCTCGGATAATATTTACTTTTTCCAACCCGTTGGGAGCCAAACATTGGAATATATTTGCATTTAAATGCATTTGCCGCACACAAACGCTGATGCAGATGCGTCAAAAGTAGTTCTGGACGAGAGATAGCGCTGGGGCAGAATTTATTGTTTAAACTGAAAGTAAACCCACCTCTGCCCACCGGGAGTACGTACGTATATGCGCCTCTGTCTGTGGTTTACGTGCGGGTATCTATGACATCCAAGTAGCTGTATGCAGTTTGGCGCCACAAATGCGGCTAGTGGCTAATGGCAAGTGGCAATTTCGGCTGACTGTTGGCAAATTGTTTGCTTTGGCCAGCGCGCTGGCTCAACCTGTTACAGGGAGTGACAAATGGCGGCAGATATATCATGATCATCGCATAATGATGATAGTGTCGCGTCGTGCTGTGCTCTGCCATGAAATCATCGATTGAGCGCGCGCAACAATCAAAGACACTTCCACCGATCCCCAAGATTTATGGCCTTGCAACGTGCGTCAGCGTCTACTGGGGAGTGGGGAGTGGACAGTGGGGAGTGGGGCTTTGTCGAGTTGCAAATCACAATTGAAATGAAATCAAAGGAATTTGGGCATTGATTTATGCAGCTGCCATGCCCTCTTCTCACCCCTCAAACCAAGCCAATTTACACACTGAATTGATTGGCTGGCCCCAGACTAAATCCTTTGAGCATTTCCAGCCTCAAATTGAGATTTGCATAATGGCCAAGGCATGCCAAGGCATCTCGGCATTGGCCTGAGCACAGGGAATATGCAAGTCTCCACGTTGAACGATGAAGAATAAAGAATGAAGTCTCAACAAAGATGGCGCTCCATTCATTCTTTTCTCGCCCAGGGTGTGGAGAGGCAAGGCCGGCAGGCGACACCGAAGTCAAACAAAAGACTCATAATTTCCGGTTGCCTACACTTCAGCCCACTCCACCCACTTTGCCCCTGCCCACGGCTGCATGTGGGTGTTTGTGAGGCAACTTACCGAAAAGGGGGCTCGTCTCTTGCTGGGTGGGTGGAAATTCTTCTAAGCAACTTGCCGCATGCCCTGCGGCGTTGCAGTGCTGGTCCTAGATTCTAGATTCTAGGTTCTGGGTCCTTGTCCTTTTCCTGACTGCAGCCAAGCGCCGCTCGTTGTCGCTGTCAGCAGTTAATTGAATTAGTTGATAATTTATGGCAATGTTTTCACTGGGAATTCCGTGAATGTGTGCAGAGCTGCTCTCTGAATGAAGTGGAGGTATGCCGAGGACTTTCCCGGCGAGTCGTCGACTTCTTTTGTGTCACAAGCGGCACCGAAGTCGGCGGGGGACTTGACTTGAGTTGATTAAATGCCTTGATCCGTGCCACCTAAATTGGCATTTAAGCAACTCGGAAACGCGCGCCCGAACGGATAACTGATAACTGATAACCTGCCCCTGCGGCGTCGAGCGGGAGGGCAGATCATAAACACGTTCGGCCTCTTCGGGTGCGCGGGAAACTTTTTATTGTGTTCCCATTTAATTTTAATGTGCAATTTAATTTCGCGTTCGCGTTCCTTTGCTTTCGCGCTCTCGCACTCGCACTTGCACTTCGCGGTGGTCGGAAGATGTGCCCCGGCCCGGCCAGATGAGCTCGTGGAGCGTTCTGAGTGCGCGGCAGTTGAATTTCAACTGAAATCCGCATGCCACACACAGCAGAAGCCGGCCCCAACAATGTTGCCAGCGGGCATGTTGCCACTGCCACCCAGTGGCAACAACTGGTACGCAGGCAGAAGGTGTAAGGCGCTCGTTCGCCATGGAGGAGCAGGAGCTTTTGCAGAGCTTTCCGCTCTGCCGCATTCGCCACTGGGTGCTGGGTCGTCGGTCGCCGTTGTTGCTCGCGACATGTTGCGTTGCGTTGCGTTGCGTTTGATTGCTGATTACAGAACGGTCGCAGCTGATAAGCGGCACTGGGATTGCTCTTGAGGGTTTCTTGGTCGCTCGTGTATGATTGTTGCACTTGTAGGTTGGCGCCGCTCATAAATCTTCAGCTTCACAATCGCTGCCAAATTTTGAATTTCAATTATAAATTCAGACTATCAGCCAGCAAAAAGGGGCGGATGTACCGTGGCAAGTACTTTGGAATTCGGTACCTCGAAGAGTGACAAAATACAGCAAACACTTGTTGATGGTCGGGCAGGCTGAAACTGAAAAGTTTGACTTTCTGTTTACACATTGAATCCTTCGGCAAGCTTAGAAAGCGTACAAAGCTCTTCCTGTCCGATGAAAGCCTGTCCTGGTGCTTGGCATGGCTGAGGCCAGCTGTTCGTCATTCTGTTGTCGCAGCAGCCACAAAAGCTTCTCTGAGGATACAGCACTGAAACTGTAATAATTAAACCTACATTTATAAATGTATACCAATCGATGTTACCCCGAGATTCATTTAAATGTTTATAAAGTGTGTGTTTTATTTCATTTTACCCACACGAATATTCAATTAAATCATTGGAATGTTACCATTACTCTGAGCTGTAACTGAATCTTTGTATCGAACTGCTGCACCTTCCAATTGATGGATGGCTCTTTCGCGAACCCAACTAAATGTCTTCGAGGCGTTTAGATAGTGCTTAACAGAGATTGGAATCAGTTGTCTGTGTACATTGCTTGATAGATTGTTTCGCATGGTGTTGGAAGGAGCAGCTGGAGATAGCAGCCACCTGTAGCTGTAGCCTCTTCAGATTATGAATCGCTTGTCTAGCAGTTGTCAGTGATATCTAAGTGCTGTCCCACGCACTCACCTGCCCTGAACTGCCCTGATAGTGGTAGTATCTACTGCAATTGGCTGAAAACGAAAGGGCTGGCAGCCCGTCTTGTTGTTTGCCAAATCGGCTCCAAAGACAGTTATCTGTTGATTGCCCGACCGCTAATACATGGGCAAACACAGTGGAACGGCTCAAAGTCTTACAGTAAAAGCATTTTATTGACAAACTGAATGGACAATTTGGTAAACACACTTGCGGCCAGCTCAGTCGACAGTGTAGGTGAAGGCAAAGCCTGCCTCCGATTGCCTATAAACGTCGTCGCTGTTGAAGAGCACCAGCAGGGGTCCAGGATTGTTGGCTGAAAAGGAGACACACATCGAAAGGTTGAATACGGGAAATAGTTGGGTGCAAAAAATCCTCCAAATACATCGCATCGCAATTCTTATGGCAGCTTTGCTATAAAAAGAAGCTTGGGAATGCTGGGGAACACTCACTTGATATGACCACATCCTTCTGGATGGAGCCGCAGAAGTAGGTGGCGTGCTTGTGGCTGTCCTCGAGCGTGGCCTGGGGCACCATGAGGAAGTCGGCATCCAGATCGCTGGTGCTGTCGCTGCTGTAGCACGAGTTGTCGGTCATCAAGGTGCTGGAGGACTCCTGAGCCCCAACGTTGAAGTGGTAGGCGCGGATGCTGTTGTGCCAAGAAGTTGGGGGTGTAAGTTGGGGACTGCCACACACCGATTGGTGTCGCTGGAATGCTTACGTGAGTGCGGAGGTGGTTTCGGTGCGGCGGAAACAGATGGCGTAGTTCATGCGGGAGGGATAGATGCCGGCACCCTCGTTGTAGTTGAAGGACTTGACGACGCCCTTGGCCTGGGGGAAGTACTGCAGGCAGCCGGGCGGGGCCACGAAGAAGCCATCCTTGATGGTGCTTGCCCTGGTCTCGACATCCACGAGATCCCGCACGGATGCTCCCTGGGGACACTCCAGCTGTGTGACGGTCATGTCCCAGAAGGGCGTAGGCAGGCCAGTGGAACCGGCGCGATTGGCCAGGGAAACGGTTAGATCCACCGCGGACTCTCCGTCGGTGGCATTGAACGGCACGTAGATGTGCTGCCAGATCTCAGATCCGCACAGCTTCAGGCCGTTCACCTCGAAGGAGTCCCTGGTGCACTCGGCATAGGTCAGCCCCGAGCCCGGCTGCGTCTCCAGCGTGGGCTGGGCCAGAGTCATGGCGAAGTCGATGCGCAACTGGCACACCAACTTGCTGTAGGCCTTGATCTGGTACTCGCACACCCGCGGCGGCTGGCCCGGGTTCACCAGGTTGATGTTCTTCGAGGAAGTGCTTCCGCCACACACTGGCGTTGCCACCGAGGCGGCCTGTGCGGCAGACACAGCCACGAGCAGGAGACAGGCGCATGCAATGTAGTTGTTCATTTTGTTGGAACTCCCGAGTGATCGCTGCACGGTGCCTTTTATGGGGCTCGTTGACTATCGCAGGCAGTCGCAGCCATGTTAGTTGGCAATGTTTCAGTGTCGCCAAACACGATCGATAAGGTTTATCTCTGACCGAGCGGGGGGGCCCACCTGCCATTTGTCGAGAGAGTAGCAATTTTCACAAACATTTAACACTGACAAGAGTCCCTCAAAAACAGCAACAATTTTTGCAATAAACAACCGATGGATGCATAAGACAGCATCAAACTGTTTGGACCAAAACATGGAGGAATTTACCTTTCCAATCATATTAGTGAACAAAGAAACTCTCCTTCGGTTGTCTGCATTATTGATTAATGGTGAACTCTGCTGTCGATACGGCCATTGCTTGATAGGGAAACAATCAAAGTAGCTTGTTAAATTCTCATCTATTTATATCCCATTTCATTGGCTCTTACCGATGATCCTCCCAAGATACACCACATCAACAAATATTTAATTACACCCACTTCTGGCTGCAACCGAAAACAGAAATTAGAAGCAATCTCTCTCTCTCTCTCTCTCTCTTTTCCTCTCTTTCTTGCTTGAAAGCTTATGGTGCAATTCTGCATGTAAAAGGTAACAGTTATTTTGTAATTTGTGTGTGTGTAACTTTTGATTTTTTGACATCATCATTACTCATCATCGTCTGGCTCGGATGGGTCTATGTATCATCACCGTCTCGATGGCGGTATGATGACACTCGATAATGAGATACCAATGGTGAGAAATTGTAATGTACGAGCATGTATGTAGGGAGAGTAAGTACAGACGATGAGGAGAGTGGGCAAACATAACCCAGTTTCAGCGGATCGAAGATCACATTAATGAACACTCCGTTTAGGTTCAATGACTGGGCTGGGCAAATACTCGAAGAGTTAATAGAGTTAATAGAGGCAACTAGCGTGCTTTTGAATATTCATGGGGCGCTGAGAGAGCATACAAATGTGCGTAGTGGTACTGGGACTGGGAACTCTTCTTACTTCTTACCAAATATTGACACGGCTGGCTTCTAACACGAAAATCTCATCACCGCATCGGCGTTGTCAGAGGCGTTGCCTCCGCTTCTGCCATGGTGCTGCTGCTGCCCCCGCTATCCGTCGTATAAAAGCAGCGCACAGACCGGCAGACTCTCACAGTCGATGTGAAAGTATAGCCGGGAATAGAACAAAGCCAAATAAAGCCAAGTACACGCATAATGTTGGTAATTTCGCTGCTACTCGTGTGGAGCCTGGCAGTCGCGCATGCGGAGACCTTGACCGACTTCAGCATAAGTCCAACGCCCAATGCTACGGTCACCGAGCCACCGGGGATGTGGCGCCAGGCGAAGCGACGCAGCACACTGGAGGATACGTGCATCACCACCAGCGGCATCACGGGCACCTGCCTCTCCCGCTTCAAGTGCATGCGACAGTCGGGCACCGTCAACGGCTATTGCGGCACCTACGGTGTCTGCTGTGAAAGTGGGGATTACTCGTCGAATTACTCATTTATACACCAACGAAGACTGATTTATCTCCCACCCTCTCTTCGCAGCGAACATGCAGAGCGGCTCGAGCACGCGCCAGAAGCGGATCATCATCAAGAGCCCCGCGGCACTGACCAGCGATCTGAGCACCTACACCATCGAGGCATTCAGCGTCAACGTGCAGCAGCTGCGCATCGACTTTGAGCAGTTCGAGCTGAATCAGCCCGTCCTCACGGACGCTATGCTGGAGTGCCGAGACTACTTCGAGGCGGGCGGCTTCAGGCTGTGCGGCGTCAACAGCGGCCAGCACCTTTATCTGCCCTTCAATGTGGCCGCCGGCATAGATCAGGTGACGCTGACCTTTACGGTGCCCACACGCTGGACGGGCTCCATCTGGCGTCTGATCGTCACGCAGCTGGAGGGTCCGACGGCCAGCACCAAGCGCCGCTCCAGTGCCACCAGCTCCTACGCGGGCAGCACCAACACGCTGCAGGATTTGCGCAACATCTTCGCCTCGCACCACGCCGACTACGAGCTGCTGGCACCGGCGGGCTGCCATCAGTACTACACAGAGCTGACGGGCACCATTCGCAGCTTCAACTACCAGGCGATGCTGGGCAGCAACTACATGCCAGACCTGAGCTACAACATCTGCATCAAGTCGGTGGCCAGTGCCAGCATGATTGAGTGAGTGAGCTCGAGGGGGGAATATCTTGTGGTGGGCAGCATTAACGAGTTCTCCAATAATCGCAGATATGCCTTCAGCAAGTTCTCGATGTCGATGCAGATTGGAGATGCCGAGGGATATGACGAGTCCTGCCGTGCCACCGTCCACACGACGGGCAGGCAGGAGGACTACCTCATGATACCGCAGGGCATTCTGGCCAAAAACATCGCCTATCAGCCCACCTACTACTGCGGCACCAATGACAACCTCTTGGTCTATGGTAAGTCAGTGGGGAACAGGGGACTGGGTGCCGCTCTGATATTAAGTTGCCGTTACCTTTTCACAGCCTCTCCGCCCTACCTCATGCACTTCTCCAGCGACGACCTGACTCTGGACGAGTCCATCGAGACGGGCTTCAGCCTGACGTACCGCCTCAGGACCTCAATCCTGTAGTCGCTGGACTGGCAGGACTTCGTTTTAAGTGGCTATTTAAATAGGTTTTTGATAGGTTTTTGTATCGGGTTATCCTAGAATTTAATAAACTAGATTCCAATGTCTTTAAGTGCAGTCAGTGCGAGCTTAAAGCTCCCTCTCTCTCTCTCTCTCTCTAGTTTGACTTTCGCAATCGGTTAACGAGCTTGTCAGAGCTCACACGAGGGGATTATGATGGCAGGCTTTGGGGATAAAATGTATGTACATATGTACATACATACATACATATGTACATGTGTATGTATCGAAGATACGCGAAAAGTTCGAGAAACGCATTAAGGAGCTCCGCGTGCGGTCAGCGACACGATTATCCTTTTAGTTGTGTAATTAGTGTGATTAAAGCCGTTGCGTAGAAGCGTAGCGCGTTCCGCTGTTCAGAGTGGGGCGGGTGTGAAGCCTCAATGGGGTTCCGCATTGCTCCGTGCATTGCCACACGCAACAGCACCCCCAGCATAATGGAGAAGAACGGCAAACAAATTCAAATGTATAAAACGCACCATTGGCAGCATTGAGCTGTTAGCATCGAGCCTCTCGCTCGCTGTCTCTCTCTCTCCCGGAGCCACCTTTCACTTTGACAAGGTGCTAGATTTTCTAAACCGCTAATTGCCAGACTACATCGCATTCCGTCTGCGATCCCAGCTCGAGCTCTGAGAATTGTTCGCCCCCGCACGCAGTCAAACAAGTACAAAGTACACATGTGTGAGTGTGTGTATGCATGGGCACCCACT